CTAGTGGTAAAGTCGAAGATCGTAACTAACTAAAACCCCCTTGAGTCAACCAAGAATGAAGAAGAAACTATGGTGGCCCTGAAAAACGCAAAAAGCCCTATCTACAGCCAGTGTTTAGTTTGTACCTTATAGGCTACTGTTTGTAGAAATATGGCAGTACTCCATGAAAGGTGACCTGTAGATAGAAACAGCTCATTCTAAGGCACCAGAAACATAACTATTCCTATTTTCAGGTAATTATACACTAATGAAAACATACCTATGAATATTATATTCCATTTCTGCCATAGATCCTCCTAAATGTTACACACTGGATCCCCAAAGCCCCATATTTGTATGAATTATTTTACACAGGATAAGAAGAATACAAGGAAACACTGGATATCTGGATGGCATTTAAGAGTCAAGTATAAAAAAACGCTGTTACAAAATACTTCTTATCAGCATGTACAATACAAAAATATTGACACACATCTACTTCGGTTTTGTAGAGGACAGATCCTATTATGGAAATCAACGTGTATTCAGCCCTGAGCTTTCATTGATATTAACAGTGAAACACATTAGTATGGAGAGGATGGAGAACAGAAGCTATTTTCTCTCACTATCTGCTTCAGCAAAAAAACAAAACAACAAACACTGGCTTTCTCTTCAATTACCTCTTCCAGTGAATCCAATCTGACTGAAATTGACATAAAAGCCTGCTCCATATCTTCTCTCATGTAAATGTTAATATTGAGGAGTAAAGCGAGGCACTCAGGCTTGCTGAGGTTGAATTGCTCTGACCAAACCAATCGATCTCAACTTAGGGGGTAGCGGCAGTGACTGGATTCAGCTGGTTATGCTTTTCTGTCCGGCAAAATCCACAGTAATAGAGACTGCACCCCCAACGTCAGAAAAGATCACTCATAGGCCATCACAACAGTATGGATCCTTAGCTCAGTGTTATTTACCAAAGGCGGTATGATTAGAGTCCAGTGTGTAACATTTAGAAGGAGCCTGAGAAAAGTGTCTTGAGATAACTTCTGTTATGAATTGGCGCTATACAAATAAAATTGAACTGAATTGAATCTATTGTCAGAAATGGAACATAATATTCATAGGTATGTTTTCATTAATATATGATCCCCTATCAAACTAATTAGCTCTCCAACCTTCGTAAATCATTACGTAGACAGTTAGGTTGTTAATTACTGTTATGTAGCGAAAGGAGTCTGCCATGTTGAACCGCCATGTTTTTACAGTAGCCCAGAACAGTGGCCACAGTAGTTTCATATACAGGCTTGGAAAGCTGAGCTGTATTCATCTGGTTGCAGTCTGCAACTTCACTGCTGGAGGCCATTATATCCTCACACTGGCCCTTTAAAACAGAGATAGTTAATGACATAATGCAAAAATATTATTATTATCATTAAAACTTCCAGAATCCCTGAATATGCATTTTTTTCCCTAAATTTCTAAAGTTTTCCTGCTGGACACAAGATGTCTCCTCCTTCACTGTAAAGTCCATTCTCAGTGGATGTGCACTGGTGGCTTCAAGTTTCTACATCACACTGTACAGGTTGCATACTGGACCAGGACTGACTTCCTAACTAATTCTGATAATACAAATAATGGTGGTAGGCCCCGCCCCCTAAAATCTGATTTTCAAGATCACAGAGAAACTTTCCACTTTCAGCAGATGAATGTGAAAACAACCTTCTAGAGTCAGACTGCACAGACAGCATTCAAACAGCACACTGTAGGAACAGGGAGAAAATGTTTTGACTGGAGGGGAGCTTTAAAGCTGCACCAAAAATATTTTCATTTTTCAAGTATCCAATTATTACATTTGTGTTAGTCACCCCTATTGACAGAGAGAAAATGCTCTGATAAACCAAGACTGTTTTCTGTGTCACAGCTGTTGCCCCCTCAGGCAAACTGTGATTTGTGGTATTGGGTTATATAAAGAACATCGACTTGACTAGCACTTGTGAAAAATCTACCTTATCCTTTTGGTCCAGCATCGACATCAGCCCATCCACGCCATCGCAGAAAACTGAAATATACTAGGTATCTATTGAAATTTAAAATAAACTTTAGTGGGTTGTAGCAATGCTTGTACACACCAATTTGTAATGATTTTTGTTTGCATGAAAATATTCAGCAGACATAAAACTGCAAGATCAGGCAGCCAGTCCTCCAGTCCTGTGTAAACCATATGAAAAGTAAGCTCCAGGTGCCCCCTTGTGTCACTAAAAGGTACTTTCTTATTAAGACAGGGGATGGCATCCATTCAGTTCTAGAGCCAGTGCCTGCAAACATACCAAATACATACAACACAACCGCACTACAACCTGCAGCCTCAGAACTGACAGCAGAGTGCAGTCAGCAGCACTCTGATACAGCGTGAACAAAGTTACAAAGCAAACCTCCAGCTGACTTTGTGCTGCTACAATGCACTTCATATTCACAGTCGAGTCAGGTTTCTGAGATTTCAGGAATTTGGGAAAAGCAAATAAGCACAGATTCCATTAATCCTTGGCAGCAGAAGAGAGTTTATGCGCTTTTAACATTTGCAATCAGACAGTAAACATGGAGAGTGTTTGTGGTAAGTGGAAAGAGGAGGGGGGAGGAGATGGTGACATTTTTTATTATTATTATTATTATTATTATTATTATTATTATTATATTGACATATAATGACATGCATTAAAGGGCTGGATTCAAACCCAGGCCTCTGTGGTGAGGACTTAGTTCCTCTACTGGGTGAGCTACCACAGCACCCCATGCTTCTTGCAGCTACTGGATCTCTAGTGAGAACAATGCCTCGTAAATACTTTGTTATGCACATACACAGTTGTTTGTTTTTTGCTGCTCCCCCATCATGAGCATGTTGTCAAGGTTGATGAAAAGTGAACAATATTACAGATAAATACAATGTTTTAGGGTGCCCGGTTAGCTCAGTGGGTAGAGCTGGCGACCCATGTACTGAGGCTGAGTCCTTGCTGCAGCAGCCCAGGGTTTGAATCTGACCTGCGACCCTTTGCTGCGTGTCATCCCCTCTCTCTCTGTCCCCCTTTCCTGTCTATCTTCAGCTGTCACTATCAAATAAAAGCAATAAAAGGCCAAAAAAACTTAAAATACAATGTTTTAGTGGTGAAAAAACATCTTCCATCAGTTTCACATGAATGGCAGCCACATGTAGCCACAAAGAGAACATTCTTAGAAAGTGCATTATAGTTATCTGTTAATAAGTGCATAATAAAGTGTGTAGAAATCCCAGTAAAGCAACAACAAAAGCTTAATAAAGGTCCAGCAATGACAGTTTAGGTATGTCAATTATAAAGGATTTATTATATGCATGCATAATAAAGGATTTATTAACCTCGATAAGCACTGATCCCACATATGATCCGGCACCCCTAAAGAGCTTCATTAAGTATTGATAAGTACGTAATAAAGGATTTATTAACCTTAATAAGCAATGAAAAAAAAAAGGTTTTGTGGCAGCCTGTGTGTATCAGACAGTTGATAGACTTTATGTGGGACTTGCCGACAATAAGAAAAATATTTTAATAACTACCAGCCTTGTCCATTACTAACAGTAATAAGAGAACACTCACTTCAGTTTCCCAGACTTAGGAGGAGTGCAATAACTGAATTCAATTCACCAGAAAGCCAGAACCTTCTCAGCAACCTGCTCTGTCTTCATCTCTCTTGATCCTCCTCCTCCGTGGCTGCCTTCTTCACCTGAGGGGAATAACTGAGAGGATCAGAATAATCACAAGTCAAATACCATGTGTCATTCTCAGCTGCACAGTGGAAATTATCACTGCTTCCCCCACACAGAATGGCGCTGCTGGCATTTAACATTACACCCTCATCAGTCCCTGTACTGTTGGTTTAGTACATCAAAGCTAATTCACTTTTACACTGCGGCTTTAATTAAGCAGACTTACTGTAACTTTATGTGAGAGTTGCACCAGCCGTTTGTCAGAGTGGGTTGGATGCTGTTAACACACAATGTATGTTTGTAGTGTTACAGAATATTATTGCAGTACATCCACCACAACCTGCTCTATCACTCCATTTACAGCTCTTTCCAAATGACAAGATACAAACTTCAGCAAAAGTACAGTAATAAGAATTTATATATTATACAATTTAGTTATCAGCACAAATTCACAAAGCACACAGCACTTTATATATGCTGTGGCAGTGTTGTTTTTGTGTAAGGATTTAACCTAATGAATCTCTGACAACTATAACATTGTCAATAACAGTGATGTGCTCCCTTCTGAGACCATTTCTTTCTTTCTTTCAATAAATGAATACAAGACAGACCAATAGAAGGATCCCAGTATTTGTTACATAAACGTTTCACTTTAAAACCAGAAAAGTTAATTTAACTCAAAAAGTTGTTGAAACTGTTTTTACAGTAATAAATATTAATACTTCATTTTGACTTAATTTTGTCATTTTTATTTCTAAAAAGTTGTTAATCAGGAATGTTTTTATAAGTTACAAACCAAGTTAGTGTCACTCAAAATTACTAGCAAAAGCAGCCTAATAAACAATCTTTTTTAACCTAACAAACTGAGTTTGTGTTACTTAAAAAGTTGGATGTAATCAGTTTCAACAATTTTCTTAGTTAAATTAAATTAAATGGTTTTACAGTGTTGTATGTTGCAGTGGTTGCCAACATACATAGTTCAATATAAATTAAACATTAAATACACATGTGCAATAGAGGTTTGTGTTTTTACATATTAAAGGTTTTTTGTAAGGTGCTAGCAATTTTATTTATTTATGGTTCTGTTCCATTTGGGGTAGCAGAGCCTTTACAGTGAGCCTGTTTGGCCTGAATGGAACAGAACTAGTATCATTGATATCACCTATGTTTATAGAACATTTCATGTCAAAATGGCTGCTGTGAAAAAGGTCAGTGCTGATGTGTTTATAGGGAAGTTGGCAGAGGAGGAACTAGTTATTCACATAAGATAACATAAGACAAGCAGTAGACCAAATTTTGGTTTTATTTACATATAAAAATTTTGAGGTTTTCAATTCATGGGGGAAAGAAACATTTGTCAAAATAAGAAAAACGAGGGGAAAGGAGTAACATTTTGTGTGTTATTAAAAATGTCTCTGCTTTCACAAAGTCACATGATACCTTAAAGTAACAGCGGGAAGCTACTTGACACTTTGACACATCCACTTAGAACCGCACTCCAACATTAATGGCTCCAGCGCCTGGCAGCTGGGCCTAATCTCACAGACTGAAAACATGGCAGTGACAGCAAGTATCTCGAGCACGCTCCACCCCGATGAAGATTCTGAGCGACATGTCTGGCCGCGTTCCACAAAACGCGTAAGACACGGTGGCTCAGTTCAGCTGGTGGCGTCCACAGTTACCCCAGCCCGCTTTGGTTCTCAGGGTGGAAGCAGCCATGTTTGAGTGTTAAATGTTGAAGGATGTGAAGGCATCTAGACAGGAGCAGCAGCATCAGTGAGTTCAGACTTCACTTCCTTGGATAAAGCAGAACCGGGTCGCTGCCCTCGGGCCTACTCGTCGTCTTTCCCTCCAGTTTTACTCAGCTGCAACACAAGAAAACAGTAAGGCATGGCAGCGCGTGAAGGATTTGAAATATGCTTTAACTAAGGTGGTTTTCACTTACATGCTGGAGGATCGGGAAGCGACGATGGCAAAGGAGAAAAAGAACATGGAGAGGTTAATGATGGATGACACTTCAGGTTTGATTGAGTGCAGGTAAAGGGAAAAAAAGGTTAAATGTACCTACTTTGATAACATCAACCCAGTTCCAACCTCTTGGTAGTTCCCCTTTGTTATCTGAAAGAGAAACACATAATGACAGGCACTGTTATCTGTTAGCATTATATAGTGTTTCCATCCAAATGTGTTGGAAATTTGAACCACAGGTCGAGTAAATCGGCAAAAGAGAATGCGAATGACTGCTTGTTTTCCTTCCACTAGTGATTATTAGGAGTTTATTCAGGAGATAAGCAGTAGGTGGTTGTAATGTTCAAACTTTTGTCAGTATGCTACACATTGTTAGATCAGTCAGATTCTCCACAATTCAAGCCTTCAGTTCATTTTACAGAAACCATGAGCACCAAAGTATCGAATGATCAAATGAATGAATCTTAATTGATCCGTTATCTGATAGAAGTAACATTCATATTGGTTTAAATGAACAGAGAGTATTTCCTATCTTTGCTGAGCAAGAGTTTTGTGCATTAGGAATTAAAGGCCTGTCCCATATAGAGGCCCGGTCCAAATAAAGGCAGGTTGAGTTCAGTGATTGAAGCAAATAAAAGCCCAGGCTATTCATTGATGCTCCAGTCGAAGCTCAAATGGTGAAAAAACGATGAGAAACTGGAAAGATGACATTTCTGTTAGTTTCACGCATTAATGTGAAGAAGGTTCCATCAGATCTGTGTGGAGAGATCATGGATGTTTTACAGAGCCATGGGAGTGAAGAGGAGACTGTCAGAGAGGAACCAGCTCATCAGCCATGAGTTAAATGTTCACTACGTCAGAACTTATCCAGAAAAAAATTGATTCATCTCCCATTAGGAGCATTAATGCTTTTTAGAAAAGGGACAAAACCATCAACCTTTTCTAACGCCATACTTCAAAATGCACACAGAAATGCGCTGATGGAAGCATGGCTAGTAACTTAGCTATATGAGCACTGTTGAGAAAGTCTGCCTCATCTCATTTATGGAGATGATTTCCCAGTGATGGTTAATCACAGCATTAACTGAGTTTATGTTGTTTCCTCCACTGTGGCACACAGCAGTGATCACAGAGAGCTGGAGCTTTACAGTGGACATATCTTTGTGAGGGTTCCTTCAACTTAATCTGCGCAACCATCAGGAACTTGTAGGAGAGACCAGTGACACATGACGAGCTGCTAGCTGCTCTTTGTTACTGCTAATGTATGGTATTTGTAGTTTATTAGCTAAAACATAGAAAGCCACTAATATGGTCCTTAATAATGGAATATGTCTGACTGATGTACCTGTTCTGCTGATGATCCTCCTCTTCTGAGCTTTGGTCAGCTGCTCCTTCTTCTCCTTCTTCTTCGCCGCTGAGGTGGTGCTCGTCATATCACTGCTGGATGTCAATGTCTGCAACAACAAGAAATAATCAGTGGCTGACTTCAGGGTTTCTGCCGGATTCAATTTAAGACTTTTTAAGACCATTATGAATGCAATTTAAGAGCTATTTTACATCCATCCTGGCAAAAAAAGTACAAAGGATATGAAGGAAAATCTGTATTGGTTCCGGATCAGTTTGTTAGAGCATGATCGATATTCATTTTCCCAAAAACATATTTAAAAGCAAGACTAGAGAAACTTGCAACTTTATACAAGTGACGTTCCATATGTAATTGTATGGTCTTTGGTGCAGTTATTGTGATTTATCTAGCCATAGTGCTGTGATTTTTACATCTTTAAACCTTCTTCCAGTGGCAACAGAAACTGGTCTACAGTGTTTCCAGCAAGTCTTTGACATTTGTAATGTAGGGAGAAACAAAGAGAAGCCAGTTGAAGGAAGATGATATCACACAATGCTTGACTGACAAGAGCTCTGGGGTCGGGATACCACAGCGATCAGCGCTTAGTACCAAAAATGGAGCCAAGACATGGCCCTCTGCTCTGAAACTGCACTGATGTACTGAAACATACTGACCACTGCAGTGACTACAGGCTTGTGGTTCTCCATGAGGGCCTCCTGGTTATCCTTGGCCCACTCGAACAGAGTGTACATCATGGCAGTGCCCAGGTTAGCCTCCACCTGCTCCTCCAGCTTTGACAGGATCAGCTGCTTCGTCTCTGCAGAGCTGTTAGAAACAACACGACCGTCACACAAGGGACGTGTCCAACTCGATATTCCACTAAGTCCTACACACTGGACTGTTGAATGTGTTTAAAAAGCTTTTTTCTGGTGTCTGGTCAAAACTTCATGGGGGGGTGGGGGTTACATTACTCATGACCTCAGTATTCCTGATATCCTGGTTCCTGCCCTGATACACTGCACCGATTTCCAAACAAAAATGAATCCCATCAGAATTATTGGAAAGAAAAAAGACGTACGCACTCACTCGTGAAAGATTCTGCATATAGATATTGCTACTATTGCTTGGAACTTACATTCTGTTGTTGAAAAAGGCATCAAGGCAGATTTGAGGGGCCGCCTCAGGGTACGTCTCTGGCCATGTGATGTCCAAGATGAACGCTTTGGTGTCCTCGAGGTCTCCTATCTGAATCAGAATCAGAAACAGAAATACTTTATTGATCCCCCGGGGGAAACTGGTTGCATTACAGCTGCTCAAGTTGCTAAGCAAGACATTATAAGAAATAGAAATAGTAATGAGCATGTTAAATGAGCAACAAATTACAACATATAACAACAATATATATAGGAAATATAAAAATATAAAATAAGAGAGTGTAAAAGTACATACAGTATACATCATATTACAGTATATAACAATATATAGAAACGGGGGGGGGGTCTTTTTTAAAGCAGGCTTGGACAGTTCAGAGGACAGCACTCACCCTAAACTGAAAGGAAACCGGACTGATTTCCTTGAAACACTCATCGCCCTCGTAGATGGAGCGAAGAGCCTCCAGCTCCATCTGTGATTGGAGGAGACAGGGAGGGACAGGGGGGAGGGACAGGCGGTTAGTCAACAGCAGCTTGTCCTGAATCCACTCAGAAATATGGGACATTACACTCCACAAGAGTATGAAACACAGAACATGACTCAATAACCTATTTTTTTAAATCACAAATTTAATCCTCTGGACATTAAAGGACTTGCACTAAATTCAACCTCTAACTTCCTGGGACCACTGCTCCCTATTAACGGTGTATGGTGGCAGCTGGCTTCAGTAAAACACTCATATTTAATTAGTATAATGTTGCTGTTTCATGGATAGAACATACACCGAATGGTTTCGAGGACGTTTTGTATTCAGAAACGGTCCTAACCTTTGGTTTACGGGTCGCACTGCCTTCCCTAGGATCAAAACCCTTAATGTGGCAGATTATTGAATGGAGTTTTCTTCGTTCTGAAAGACGCTTCTCAGGGCTCCAAAACAGCTAGAAAGACATTTGACACTACTGCCTGACTGCTGTTTTAGCTAAACTGAACTCTTTCACATTGAATAAACATTGACTTGTTTTGCTGTGTAACGTTAAGGGACACAAACGCTGTGAGCTGAGCTCCTCAATCCGAACTAACATGCTAGCAGTCACGCTAGTGTCCTGTAGTTAGCATTTAGCCGCTAATAGCTAGCTGCTAGCCTGCCACTGCATCATCATTCATTCATACCTCTTGATCCTCGTTAGCTGTCATGGTGTTCCGTCTGTTTCGGTGCGATGTACTCTCTGTGTGGAGTTCCAAACCTATTCAAATCCTACAGTTAACAACCCATTTCTACCATTAAAACTTTACTATGTAATATCTCCACAACTTCCCCAGCTGGTACAGCCAGTGCCACCATGATAGTACACGCATGCGCACTTAGACACTCTAGGTGAACTTTGAACCGCATCATTAGTGGATGCAGGTTCATGATATATCATAAATAATAGAAAACTATTTCATAGGAGCGGTGTAGTTTTTTGAATAATATGACTTTTTGAAATATGACTACAAACATTAACAAGATGCATTTGCATCTCATTCAATCAAGGTTATTTAATTGTCATAGTACAAGGCAGGGTTGTATAATGAAGGTTGTAGTTCCCTTTATAGTACTACTCTTAAAACAAAAGAAATATGTTTACAACAATTATTTACAGAAAAAGTGATTATTAAGTATTACATTGATATAATATACAATATAACACAACACATATTCAACACAACACAAAAAAACATAACATAATGTAATATGTAAGTCTTCCCCAACTGAGATGTTAGGGCATCTATGGACACTTAAAGTGGAATATGTGGTAATAAATACTTTGTTAGTGATGATTCTTTAATGGCGCCAGATGTGTGGGAGATTTAGACTATATATTATGATAATATTATCATAATACTATGAGTTCTGATTCACTCTGATATGAATATGAATGCTGTGATTTCTATGAGTCACTTTTTCCATCTATTAGTTCATCGTATTTATGCAAAATGTTGAGACATATTAAGAGAAGAAAGCCTTGGCAATAAATGACTTCTTCTGAAGGCTTTTGAATGAGAAAATTCTATAAACAGAAACATATATCTGCAGATTTCATTTAGACAATGCCTAATCTTTCAGCATTTTTTTCAACATTTTCCAGAAATTAATAATAATAATAATAATTTTAATTAGATAGTACTTTTCATATTTAAAGATAACATTTCAGAAATTGTCTTGATGTAAGTAATCAACTTGGGAATGTTCATGGTTGTATCTATTAGTTACATTTTCACCCTATTGACCTGTAGTGTTTCCTCTTAAGTACAAATGACACTTAAGTGTCTTTACAGACTAGATATTTTCACATTTGAATGTTTCTGGAACAGAATAGAAACAGAAGATTTTATTGAAATGGTAAGTGAATAAATAAAACAAAGACAAGATTTCAGTCCTTTCTAGTCTGGGATGCTCTGGAACTCCCTGCCCGAGGGTCTAATACCATTATGTCTCATCTATGTTATTATTATTATGATTTAATGATATATTAGCTATTATTCTTTTAATCTCGTAAAAATTGTAATTGTCTACATTTATTTGCCACCGTTCACCATTGCTATATATTTCATTTGTTTTGTTTATTTTTTTACGTAAGGCACTTTATTTTGAAAAGTGCTTTATAAAAGAAGTTAATAATTATCATTATTTTTATTTGTCAGAAATGCATTATGAGAGAAGGCAGCAGGAAATGTCCTGGTAGCTGAAATAAACACCACATGTAGGAGACCATCTAATGTTTAACATTACAATAGTCACATACAACAGCATATCTGTACTGACCATTGACAGTAATTAGTGACCAAATCTAAATGTTGGCCTAGTCTGCGTTTTATTTTGAAATCTGCGAGCGGAAGTTGGTCATTTCATTGTTTCAAGCTTGACAGATGGATGTCTCCAGTATCGGCGGCAGGTGACAGAATGTGGAGCTACTACAGAGACGGGCTTTTTCCCAGAAAGAAGAAGAAAGTAAGTGTTTTTTTCAAACCAGTGATATAGTTTTTATTCATACTGGCTTTTGTGTGTTGAAAACTCTATACAGTTAATTTTATTGAAGCTTCTATTCAGCAACACTACAGCTTTAAGCAATTCGAAATAATTGTACCAAAAATAAAAACTGTTTGTTAAACTCAGTATTGAATAAGTATAGCTATATGTAACATCTTCTCATTAAACTGTCTATAAACTCTAGCTCTATGTTCTATATGTAGTTGAGTTGTGTACTTCCACTATCCCAAATGTTTCCAATAATGTTCAAACTCAGAGTTATCTGTCATTTTATTCAGGTTATTCTGCGTTTCATGACGTCATCTTAGTCTTTTGTTATTGTTTTGATGTGAGAGGCAGAAATTACATACCTACCTTTGTCTGGAGGGGATCTTTAAGATATTGTATACAAATATTTTTTTATGTAGGCTATTTTTATAATTGTAGTATTTTATAGAAGCTGAATTTCAGTCTCTGTGGTAACAATGAGGTATTGTTCAATTTATGTCTTGCAGGAGGACAAAGAGGCTGTAACACTTCCAGCTATACACAATGGTCCAACTTCACTATGTCAGGTGATTTTACCATTTACCATTTACCATTACTAAAATGTCTCAACCACTATTAGATGGATTGGTAATATTATGTACAGACATTCAGGATGCATTCAGTGAAAACTGAACAGGAACAGGATTTGTGTATAAAAGTATTATAGTACCCATCTCTTTGTCTTCTCTGATGCTCTTAATTTGCAGGGGACAAACAGGAAGGGGCATGACGGCAAACTGCATGTGGAGTCCAATATTACAGATCACCTCAGAGTAAGTGCCCGAGGCCAACACTGAAGCACTGAATGCCTTGCAGATGTATTTTTTTTGACTAACCCAAAGTCAGTTTTTACAGCTGAATCATCCTGTCTGTCTCCAGTATCAAGTACAGCGAACAGGCAAAACCCAAAATGAGCCTCACTTAGAGGACAGAATAACTGACATACTGCACCAAGGCCAGTTTTTCAAGGTACCTCATTTATAGACCTGTACAGAATGTGACCATTCAATGCTGAAAATATAATAAAAAGAAGATAAAGCTGTAAACCTGAGACAGATTCTTTATACTATGTTTTTTAACAGGTTAAGGCTGCCACCACCTTACTGAACCTGCACGAATACAGGAGAACAATCGACGATTCAACACAGTTACTAAAGAGCATGGAGGCCCTGGCTGGAGAAGAGGAGGACGAAGAGGACAGAGAGGGAGAGGACAAAGATGTTATCGTGGACGTCAGAGAGACAGACAGTGGGACTCATCTGTCTGTCAGCTCAAACATAGATGTGGACAGAGAAAGTGAACACAAACTCCCAGGGACAGACTTGTTGTGTTGTACGGCGAGCAGTGAGGTTCAAAGAACGGAGGAGTCTCCTCTTGTGGAAGAGAGGAGATTCATGGTGTACATATGTGGTGGATACAAAGGTAGGAGTGCCAGGGTTATACCATGGGAGAGACTCTCTCTCAATGACTGGCAGGTGTTCAACAAGATGATACTAACCCAACTCTTGGTTAAAGCCTGTCTTTATGGTATATTAATTGAATAGTTAATATAGTGACATTTTGGGAAATGTGCTTATTTGCTTTCTGGTGTGGGGTCAGATGAGAGACTGAAACCTCTCTGGGTCTGTATAGCTGGAAATTTCAGCAGGAACTAGCTTTTAGCTAACATTAGCTATCAGCTCTAACTAGCTAGCTAACAATTAAAGGTCCAGTGTGTAGGATTTATTGGCATCTAGTGTGAGCTGAACACCATTGGCGTCTATATGTGACAGCCTAGGAATGAGAACGGGCTGTGAATGTGTGGGAGAAACTATGATGGTTGCAAAAAGGCCCTGTCTAGAGCCAGTGTTTGGTTTGTCCCTTCTGGGCTACTGTAGAAACATGGTGGTTCAACATGGCGGACTCTATGGAAGGTGACCCGCTGTGTCTGTAGATAAAAACAGCTCATTCTAAGGTAACAAAAGTGTTATTTTCAGGTGATTATACACTAATGAAAACATACCTATGGATATTATCTTCTATTTCTGACAATAGATAATATGGTAAATTACAATAAAATAACCCTGAATCTATGAATAACAATAACTAACCAGCTAATTAGCTACCTAACGATTCAGGTTAGCTGGCTAGTTAGCTAGTGTTTTGCTAACATTAGGTAACTTCAGATGTCACTATGTACTGTATATATATGTATATATGTTGCTTTTATCTTTTAAGCCTCTTCCAAATGTGGTTGTCTTTTCAACATCAGACTAGCCTAGCACATAGCATATCTAAGTACAGGTAAGGAGGAAGTTGACGGCTTGCTCAAATGTTATTGGAGCAACAGAGCAAAATGGGGCGGGACTTAGGAAGGGTCAATTAATTAGTGTTACAAACACATTCAAAAAAACAGAGGATGATTTTAACATACCAGTTGTATGTCTTTTTTCTTTTTTTAACTAGCCTTTCAAAATAAATTACTTAATTAATGGTGTTTTAAGGGTTGAGATTAAAAATGCAGTAAAACAGTATTTTCGATTCAGAATTGGTCGGGAACAAAGTACAAAGTAAAATCACTCGTTATTTAGATGCTGTAAAAGGAAGATGTAACCGTTATTTTTCTGTGTGTATATGTGTTCGATCCAGACACAGTTGCAGAGAGAAGTGCGCTCATGGAGAACGTTTATCCCAGACTGTATCTGTACTGTAAGCAGAGAGGCTACGACTTCAGCATGGTCGACCTCCGCTGGGGGATTGGAACACCTTTTGCTGAACGCCACGACACCGTAGAGCTGCATGTGGAGAATCTCCAGCGATGTCAGACAACCAAGGGCCCCAACTTGATTGTAAGATATCGCCCTGTACTATTATTGGACAGCAAGTGCAGCTTTTCTACATCTTCACATATGATTCTCTGTTCTGTTGGTCAGGTCTTTGTAGGACAGAAGCATGAGGTCCGGAGCCTTCCCTCTACCATCACGAGAGAGGCCTTTGAGGCCATAGTTAGAGTGTTGGATAGAGACCGACAGCAGATGTCCAGGGACAAACCATTGGTGGACCTCGCTGCCTCCGGCTCCCAGTCCAGCATCACTACAGACAGCAGCTCTGACAGCTTCACTCAGGATTCCATTTACGGGCATTATCTGAATTTTGGAGAACAGGCCACAAACTCAGGTTTACTGAGCCAGAGCTCCCACGACTCATTTTCAGATGGAGAGGAGGCCAGACTCAGCCCAGTGGGCACTAGGGGCCGGGCGGATGTGGACAAAGACCTAACATTGCTCCAGATGTGCTACAAGCTGGACGAGAACTGCCTTCCTCCTGTGTACCGCTTACTGCCCATTAGGTGAAAACAAACACCAGCAGGTCATGTTTTTCCATAATCCAGTGCAATATCTCAACACCTAGCAGATGGATTAAAATTTAAATTTGTTTCAGACATTCATGTTCCCCACAGAAGGACTTGTAATTGTAAACTTGAATTTTTATCTTGTGCCATCATCAGGTCAGAATTTGATTATGTCAAATACTTTAGCTTATGAACAAATACCATCCAAATTACTCACTGACCTCAACTGCGCTTTATGTTTTGTTTTAATCGGGGTTTGAAATACGGACTCGGCTCCCTGACAGAGACACAAGATAGCCAGTAACCGTCATTTGAGAAATTTAGCAGGAGCTCTAAAATGTGGTAATTTTTGTGTTTTATGTACACATTTATATTTCCCTGTATATTTAGATTCCTGAAGATGATAGGCTAATAGTAGAACGGCTACTTCATTACAGAACAGGTCATCACCTCACCAAATCTAAACAATTCTTCCTTTTGGAAACATTGAATGTACACAGAATATACCATGTCAGTACATTACAGGGTTATGATTTAATATATGCCGAATACTGAAAGCAAGGCGATATATTGCAATCTTTTTCTCTTACCCTAATTTAAGAAGATGGTCGTAGTCCGTATAGTATCAGACATTACCGACCGGTGTATGTTTACAACCCTGCTCTCTAGCTGTTGGGGGTTTAAACACTAAAATCGAGAATTAATACAGTATCACAAGACAACAATACACAAGACAATATTTTTCATCTTTTCTTACAGCCCTACATGGCAGCCTGTCGCCATTGTCAACCATTTTTGGTGTAAGGAAAATCCAACTTTCAAAACAATCCAGCCATAGATGAGCTTAGCTTAGAGGAAATCTCTATCACTCCATCTTTCTTTTGTCACAACAATCAGCTCAACATCTGGGGAGTATGAGCATAGGTTTAACAGACCCATTCGTTATCTCTTGGTGACATCGACAGCTCTCACCATCCTGACGTGTTGAGCGTGGACAGGGAGCGCAGGAGGCAGGCCAGGAAGGACTGGAGCGCTACCTGCCTCACATTATTGGGAGTTCTTCAACGCAGCACTGGGAAGGCACTAGGACGAGAGGAGGCATCGCTGTTACTCAGAACAGGTGGGGTTCTGTTGGTTTTGTCCATCTTTCCTAGGAAAGAGGTTTCTCCTTTCCTCTGTGGTGTGAAAAACTGCTGTGCAGTCAGTGTAGAGACATTATGTTGATACATTTCTAACATGAAACTTTCTTATGTCAAGACAATGACTGAGCTGTCAGCATTATCTCTCATTTCTTTATGTGTAGTTCTTGACTGGGAGGTGGAGACAGGTCTGCAGTCTGTGGATGGGGCTCCACCAGAGGAGCACTGCCACTGCTATAAGAGACTCATCCCAGACCTTCACTACAACCTGAAGAATGAACACGTTGCTCAGTACGCTGACCTCCTGAAGGGAAGAGCTCGACTCGATCCCGTCCTCACCGCGGCTCACCAGCAATTTATGGACCGTCTCCATAGAAAGGTATTTTCACTGTTAGGGCAAGCTGCTGTGGCTATATTAACTCCAACTGAAATCATATTTGGTTATGTCTTTTTGTTATTGTTAGGATTTTGTGTTGCTAAAAAGAATTTTGAGATGAATCAGAAAGGCTCCTTTACTGAAGCTCTGAGAGGACAGGCTGGTGTACATGTCTGACTGATAGTTGAGCTGGCAGAGACAGACAACGAAATCAAACCTTTCCCTGGTAACTGTAGCTTACAGTACAAACTAAGGGCAGACAGTGTTTTGTTAGAAGTGATGTTAAAGAACTAGGACCCCACAATTTAGCATCTACTATTTTTTTTGCTACAGCTGACTAGACAATTCGTTATGTAGCCTGCAAAGTTCCGTGGATGTTTGGTAGCTTGTTAAATGCATACCTTGCAGGATTTTCTATTGTTGTGTTTAAATGCACCATTCAAAGTTGTCTCCTCCTCCCCTGCTCAGTGGGGCACTGACTTATGACGGGATGGCATCATTGTGTGTGTCTCAGTTTTCCAGTAATTCCCAATTTATGCAATTCCAGAACTGTACATGGACCCCAGTATACACTAGGAAAAAAAAACACATTTATACCACTTGCAAAAAACTGTGTGAGATTAGCATGAAGTTGGCATGTCTGCAAAGGGGAGACTTGTGGGTACCAACAGATCCCATTTCATTCAGATGTCTTGAGTGCCAGTTTTTTAATTTTTTTTTGTTTTATTCATTACTTTGTCTACATCAACAAGCTGCGCCACACCAACATCTATGAGCGTAACATGGGATGGGGAAAGAGAGGCCTGAACTCTAAACACAATCAGTCCCACCGGTTCTACACCGAGCGAATCTCCTCCCACTTTCAACGGACTGTCATCAACTCCCTCAACAAGTACACACATGAGGAAGCTTTTTATAAACTAGTAAATGTCTCTGTTCTGTATGAGTTAACTATTACGATACTATGTGCTTTTACTTTTCCAGAGACATGAAGGTCACCAAAACTCACAGCCCCTTTGACACTGTGAGGAGAGAAGCTGTCAGAGAGCAGATACAGGAGGAGATACAGCGCCATGTTAACTATGGACTCCATCTGTGAGTGGGTCATTGCCTCTCTAGAGCTGGAGACACAGTGACTCACAGTTCTCTGTTGTATCCACACGTCCTCCATAGGCTGAGAAGACAGCTGTATTTTTAATTTTTCAAATCTTTCCAAGTGCAACTTCAAGTAGTTGTAGAAATGTCTCATTCAAAGTCACTATGTGTAGAATTGTTTAGTGATTGTAGCAGAATGGCACGATGTTTAGTTTGTAAAGAGATGATCAGTGTAAAGGGCTTCTGTGCCCCTATCACTCCCCTATCACTCGTAGAAATGTTACTTAAATGGACTAGTGTGAAGGATTTAGTGGCATCTAACAGTGAAGTTGCAGTTTGCAATCAACTCAATACCACTCCTAAGTGTGTAGGAGAAACCATGGTGGCTGCAAAATGTGCGAGAAACGTGAATGCCCCTATCTAGAACAAGTCTTGGTTTGTCTGGGATATTGTAGAAACATGGTGGTTCAACACGGCGGACTCCATGAATGAATATTATATTTCATTTCAGCCAATAGATCCTCCTAAATGTTACACAATGGACCTTTAAGAGCTTATAGAGCAACTAATCTACAACTATCCAACCTGTCTAACAGAATAGATGTTTATTTCCACACATGCTAAAGTTCTAATTTAATTGGAGATGTCCCTCCATCCCTCAGGGGGAAGGGTTGTACTTTGAGGCAGACTTTCTTAGCTGATGTGAAGAAGGCAGTGGAGCAGTCAAGAACCAGACCCATCCTCCTGCTGGGACCACCAGGCTGGGGAAAGAGCACCACCATGGCTGCAGTAGCACAGCTAGCACCCTCGTGGCTACCTGGGTGAGATTCTGGTAGAGAAGACAATCCGTATTTTGGTTTTGTGGCAATCGATATACAGATTTGCAGACACTGACTGTTAGATATGTATGTCTCGTTGGTTCAGGGCTGTGAAGATATTGGTGCACTTTATTGGCCTCACTGGAGAGAGCAGGAATATTCGTCTGGTCCTGCAGAGTCTTTGTGTCCAGCTAGCTGAAGCTTACTGTCCCCACACACAGCTGTCAGAGGTACTGGACCATCTCTAGTAAACACAGCTTCATCATATCTCACCTGACTGACCAAGATTATTTTGATTAAAATAACTTAACCACAGGCGCCCAGTTAGCTCAGTCGGTAGAGCTGGCGACCCATATATACAGAGTTGCTGCAGTGGCCTGGGTTCGAATCCGACCTGCTGCCCTTTGCTGAGTGTCATCCCCTCTCTCTCCACCCACCTTTCCTGTCTCTATAAAAATAAAGCCAAAATAAAAACAAATAATTTAACCACATATGTTTGACATCAGTCTGCCTGTGAACTGTGTGCATTTATTCCTGAATTAACAATGTTTTGATTCAGATTAGACATGTTGGTTCTAGGTATGAAAGGGTATTTGTCTCCTCCAGGGCCTCCCACAGCTGATCAATGAGTTCCACTCTCTGTTGGGTCTGGTGGGAACGGAGAGGCCCCTGGTGATCCTGCTGGACGGGTTGGATGAGCTGTCTGAGGATCATGGTGCAGACCTCTCCTGGATCTCAGCATCTCTACCTCAAAACGTCCACCTCATCCTATCTGCAACCACGGACTCCCCCTGCACTCTGCAGGTCAGTAGGCCTGAAGCCACATTTTTACCATCCACTGTTTAGATCTTGGTGCTTTTTAACTCTAGATTGAACCGGATGAAGGATTTTAGTTATCGGACATCTGGATCTTAAGTTATCAGAGAAACAAGCTGAGCTAACGTTAGCAGCAGCGCGGCCCCAAACATGACACCACACAGGTCCTACCAACAACTTGCCTCAACTTCCTGTATGATTTCCATCTTTCTTTGATTTATAGTTTTCTCTTTCTCACCAACCAACAGTCAGCCCTTCCCACAGTCCTGTCCATCCCCCCACTCAGTCCTGAGGATATCACAGCTGCATTAGAGACCAAGCTGCGGACTGACCAGCGGTGTCTGCAGGAGCAGCAGTGGCAGCTGCTGGTCAATGCCTGCCTGTCCTGCCCCTGTCCTCTGTACCTGGAAACAGCTTACTCTGAGAGCATGCTCTGGACCTCCTACTCCCCCCAGGCCAGCCTCAGCCTTCCACCTAGCCTGGAGGGCCTCTACCTTGGTGTGTTGGCTCGCCTGGAGAGAGAGCTGGGTAGGCAGCTGGTGAGACGGGCTGCGTCTCTGATATCCATCTCACGTTGGGGTGTCACTGAACAGGTGGGGAAAACTACATTTAACCACAAGCTGCACATACACATTATCACTAATCACTTAGTGTTTTTAGATTCATTTCCTACAAGCAGTTTAGCATCTCCTTAGCGCACACTGGAAATCAACATGCAGATATGGGTAAAGCCTGTGCCAGTGATCACAGGTTGGCCATCCTGGCTTGGACACCCAGCATTGGTTGAATAATGGCTAGATACTGCCTGGAAGGCATTTCTATTATTGACCTTAAAACTACATTTATCACCAATGTGTTCATTATTAAGCTTTAGAGGTGTTGGCAGGTGTATTTTTAAACTTCCAGGTTAACTGGCATATGTAGCTGGCACCTACTTCCAGTGTTTGTGCTAAGGTAAGCTAACAATGTCCTAGCTTCAAACCCTACAGTCATGAGGCAATATAGTTTCCAAAACCTGGATTATTCAAGTAGCAGTATCCAGCTACAAGGATCCAGGCTCAATTTGAAATTCTGATTCAGTTTATGTTTTATGTCTATCTTCAGGAGTTACTGGACCTACTGACCCGAGATGGGAAGGTGCTCCAGGAAGTGACCTCATGTCACTCCTCTTCCAGCAACCCAAGGGTGCCTTATGTCTCGTGGGCTCGACTGAGACGTGGCCTCGGCCGTCACCTAACTGAGGTCAGGACAGATGGGACGTGGGTGTACCGTTGGACTCATTCTGAGCTGAGCCATGTGTGCATGAACCACTATATAAAAACAGTTGATTGTCGTATGGCTTTACATGCAGACTACGCTGACTATTACCAAGACAAGTCGCAACGCACACACATATTCCAGCCACTGGCATGGACATTGAATGAGGGAGAGGATGGTGAAGGTACGACTAAAAGTTATAAATTCAATTTGAGGAAGCTTCATGGGTTGCCCTACCACCTGGTCCACTCAGACCAAATCCTGCCTTTCCTGTCTGAATGCATTTTCAACTATGAGTTCCTGCTGCATAAGGCCTGGGGTTTGTCTGTCCTGGACATCAAGGAGGACCTGAACAAGGCTGTGCTGCCAGACAAGTAGGTCATATCAGAGGACAGACAGAAGGCTGTCTTTTTGTCTTAAACTGTACTTAACATTGATGATACAGTATATAGCAAGATACACATTGTTCACAAGAATAAAAACTTGTTGTTGCCCGACCATGTGAAAAGGCTAAATGTAGGCTATATAGCTACCTGTTCTGAATGGCGATACTTAAAATGCCGACTTTCATAGCCTGCTCTTGGGCTGCATCACAGAATTTTGTCTTTTGCATCTTTGTTGCCTCAAAGCACTGAATCATACACATGAGGAAAGGGGCGTACGCATTCAGACTTATTTGTTGCAGTATATCCCTCCTTTACTTTATCTGTATAAATACCTAGGGTGCTGGTGGATGTCGAGGTGTTGTCGGGTGCTCTTGAAATGTCTACAGTGGTGCTGCTGCAGGACCCCTGTCAGTTGGCCTCCCAGCTTATGGGTCGACTGGGAAAACTTATTATTGAGGACCGCCCCGTTGCTAAAGGTATAATTTGTCAGAATCTTGTGAGTGTCACTATTTATTGACGGTATATGTCATATGTATATCAGGTGAAAGAGGTGGAGTTGTATAAATCTGAATGAGGATTCTAGACCACTAGACTTTTTAATTTGAAAAAAAAAAAGATAATATGGGGTGCACTGATAGGTCAGCTGGTACCACATGGATTATTTGCTGCATGTCATTCCCTCTCTCTCTCTTCTCCTTTCCTGTCTATCTTCAGCTGTCACTATTCTATAAAAGCAAAAAGCCCCAAAACAATATATTAACAAAATAAATAATATAACATTATTTATATAGTCATTTATAAAAAAAGTTTCCAAATTTATTAGAATTTGCAGGCATTTTGAAATGGCCAGTTTTAAACTTCCGTAATAGAGTCATGGATGTGCTCAAATGCATGGATGGTAATGTTAAATCAAAGGAAACTGTACACTGAGTGACCTGAGGAAACATGTAGATGGAGAATAATATAGGTCCAAGGACTGACCCATGAGGTACTTCAAAGGGTAGAGGAGGATTTACAGTTGCCTATGGCCACACATAGGTCCTTTCAGAGAGATTAAAAAAACACTTTGGTCAGCTTTGGAAAATAGTCAGAACTAATGATGGTTGTATATTATATATAAATATAAATATATATTAAAATGGGCTTATATTTATAATCACTAGTATGAGGTGTTCGTCTGTAAAATATGCAATGAAACCTGCATTGGCTGCCTTAAAGATTGACTAATCCAACAATTTTATATTTTCAAAGGCGGGTCATACCAATATGCTAATTGTGCCAGGGGAACAATAAATTAAAGTATTTTTGCGGGACATTAGGATTAATTAAGATTGTATTGTGCTACATAACATGTGTCTGACCCAGGTGACCCGCTGAAGTTCAGCTACCTCCATGCTCTAATGGCTCAGTGTACACAGTCCTCCCTGCCTGTGTTGCTGCCCTCCTCCACCTGTTTGCTGCCCCCAGGAGGCCTCCAACACATCCTCCTAGCAGGTAACATATCACACATATACCGCCTTGCTTTACAGAGTTGTCATCATGATTGTCTTTACTGTCATTTTTAGCATGTTCCCACTCTCAACTTGTCAAATACTACTTCTTGGTCAGTAGCCCTCCACTTCAAAATGTGAGGCTGTAGGTTTCCCTCTTGCATCATTTCTGGATGTGCAGGGCTCCGTGGTCAAGTTAGCAAGAATAAATATGCAATGTCTGCAACTTCCAGTCAAGTTAGTAATTATAAATATGTGGCATCCGGTTGGACTTAACTAAAAGAAATAAAGCTTGTGTGGTTAACGTAAAACAGTCCCAGTTTGGTTAGGTATAGGCACAAAAACTACTTCCTTAGTTTTCGAAAAGATTATAAGTTACCTACGTTACTTAAAACAAATAAGAAGAAGTAGACTTTTGGTTTCACACAGGACACGGACAGCAGTCTAATGGGTTAAAGTTTTGCTTGTTTGGGCCATCTATCCACCCCACCACCTCTATATGCAGACTCTCTCGCTCTTTATACTACATCACCTGACTTTAACAGCGGGTGCATCATTCTTGCTTTTTCCCAGTTAAAGAGGTTTCTGCAGGAGTTTGTCATACTGTGCCATACCTGTACAGATTATAAAGCCTCTTGACGCAAATTTGTGATTGCTGATATTGGCCAATATAAATGAAATGGACTTGACTTGATCAATACACAGAGCACTTAAGGTACGTGCTAGTCCACTCCACACCTACTACTACCAAAGTACTACATTATGTTGCTACATTATTTATGTGAATATTAGTCTAAGGGTAGCTGCTTGCTATAACTAACTGTATAATTAATTAATTGAAAGATGGTGTGTTTACTAACCAGGTCACTTGACCAGTGTGATTGCCCTGGGAGGAGGGCAGAGAGGACCCTTGGGTGTCACCAGTGAATCTGATGGAAGCTTGAGGTTTTGGGATCTGGAGCAGAGGCGGATCATCAGGAGCCTGGATGCGGTGGAGGGAGTGGTGGCAGATTCCATCACACTCGGTCTGAATGATAAAATGCTTATAGTCTGCATGGGACAAAGTCTGCAGGTTGGACAACCACATTATAAAAACAACTTGCTAGCTTTAAGTATTCAAACATATTCTTATATTCTAACATGATTAATATAATTTGGATACGAAGCACTGTGGGAAAGGAAAAAAATAAAACACCAAGAGTTATATATGTTGCTGTGTTTCAGGTGAGAGAGGTTGAATCCGGGCGAGTTGTGTATTCAGAGAGTGATTCAGTGGACCGTCCCATAGTCACCACGACTTGTGAAGGACAGCTGCTGGTGGTCTTCTATGATGGGAGTCATCTAGTAAAGGTAACAACAGCTAGATGCTACCTGCTGAGCATCAAACAGCACACAGACACAGTTAGAGACTAGCTGATAAACACAGTGGAGCATTTAGCTGCTAAAGAGCCACATATTTCTCTCAGGAGTTGGTGAAGACCAGAAGAGAGCTAAAAGAGTGAATGTTGGAATGCTAATGTTGCTCTGTTCCTGCTGGATGTGTGACTAGGCACATGTCTGCTCAACCCTTAACTACAATAACATTGTGTTCTGCTGCCACTAAGTGTGAAAGAGAGTCCATAGTGATTGTTAGGAACTTTGGAAAGAGCGCCTTGTATTAAAATAAAGTTTATAAAAGGTTCATATAGGTTGTGTCGCTGGTGTGTTTGTTAGGTTTTTGACCTGGCTGCCTCCTGCTCTCTGCTGCACTGTGTGAACATTTCCATGGAGCGTGAGGCAATCCACAGAAACCGCTCTGTTCTGCTGTCCAACAACTGCATCAGAGACTACGTCCTCTTTGCCTACAGGTCAGACAGCATCAGGTTAGACCAGGCCATAGCCTTGTCTTTTGGCATGTGTTGAATATATTGTGATGATATCTCCAAAACTCAACAACTCACACCAAAACAATCTAGATAGATGAATCGCACTACAGGTAAGAGGAAATATGTATCTTGGTGGCGGACTACGCCTTTAAACCCCCCACCTACACAGCAGCCCAGTAGGTCACTATGAATATCAAATGATGGTGACCTCACATTCACAATGCAGGAGTCACAAGTGTCACTGCGATTGACCATGGTCTTAAATAATATCACATATCCCTTTGTTAACAAGCTGTGAAATCAGGCCTCCATAGTACCCACACAAATTTCACCACTGGCTTTGAAAACAGTTCTGAATTATTAAGACAGGCCACTACTCATGTGCCTCACCAGTGTAACGTAGCACTGCAGTGATGCCTTCACGCCACAGCTCCTGTCACATAGATGGGTGACTCTGAATCTGATGAGCAGGGGATAACAGCAAGATCATAAAAGAGTTTCTCATTCTGTTACCGTCTAATTAAAACGGTGAAATGCTTTCAGAGTAATTAGCACAGAAGCCATACCTTGACACCTGACAGGAGGAGGTATCAGATACACAAGGTTGTTAGAAATACAAGACGACGGGGACAGAGCATCGGCTCATTTACACTTGGCTCACTTCAGTGTGTCAGTGTTAAAGCCTTAATCTTGAACGGTAACGGAAAAAGGAAGTGCTTCGTAGTAAATAACCTACAATGTTCCAATGATTATTTTTTTTACAGAAATCTCTTTCCTGAGGTTATTTACAGGAAAATTATGATTTTCAATCTGGATCTCACTAACTTTGTTGATCTGGATCAAGTAGGATCTGGCAAAACAGTGTATATTGGGACAAGCAGCACAAGCCCAAGTGGCAGTAGCCCTGCATTAGCCACTGTAGCTAACTGCAGCTACTTCTCAGGCAACTATTTTGCATACAGTATACTAATTCTAGCCATATTTTGTGTTCTATTTAAACTAGGAAAACAACACAAATAAAATATATCTTAAAGCACAATTTGTGATCCAAATGGCAGCAAATGACATTACTGAGTCAGTTCACTGACTTAACAAATCCTCTCTACATCATAACTTTTACCATTAACCTGTAATTGCTAGAGGTGGTAGCACTGGTGCACCAACATAAATGTTAAAGAAGCGATCGCCACGATTAAAAAAGTGTGCATCAGATAGATCTTTTGCATCAGTAAAATCTGATTTCTTTATATTTGCTATGCTTAAGAAGAACCAAAGAGGGGGCACTCTGACTGCTCACCTGGTAGAGCTGGCACCCCATGTACTAAGGCTGAGTCCTTGCTGCAGTGGTTCAATTCCAGCCTGTGGCCCTTTGTTGCATACCATCCCCTCTCTCACTCTCCTTCTTTCCTGGCTGCAAAACTTGGGAAACAGCCCTATCTAGAGCCAGTGTTTGTATCCCTTGTGAGCTGCTGTAGAAACATTGTGGTTCAACATGACATGGAAAACACAGCCATTCTTACTTTTGGGTAATTATACACCAATGAAAACATACCCATAGATATTATATTCCATTTTCAGTTCAGTTTCAATTCAAGTTATCTCAGGACACTTTTCATGGATGTATGTATGTGTATTGTCCCATGTTACAACATATAACACAAATATAGAGTCACTCACAGTTGATAAAAAGTGAAAAAATAAACAGGGTCTGCAAGTCTCCAGTAACATCTCAGAACACCACAAAATAAATAATAAATTGTGTAATAAATCATTCTACGTGCTAAAATGCTGCACTGTCAATTGGTAGTGTATGGCTAGTATATCATTTGGAATAGGGACATTTGATACTTGTTCTTCTCTGTGTTGGAGGTCTGGTGATGAGGCAGCAGTATTCAGTGCCAGAGGGGGAGCTGTGCTGTCTGTCCTGTCTGCTCAGCATGGTGCTGCCTCTATACAAGCTGTGGAGATGACTGAAGACTACCTGCTGCTCTTCTGCAGGTACTCTAACGCCAGAGACAGACTGAAAATACAGGGGCAATTTCTGTATATGTCATAACATCCAGCAGCTCTGTGTGAATTTGTTTGTGTCTGCACTGGGTCTTGTACATATTTGTAAAATATATATATATCATAGAAAAAGTTAAATTACGGAGTGGATGGGGTGCAAGGAATTGAATGGCTTGGAGCTCTAACAAAACATTTTTTTGGAGAAAAAAATGCTAAGAAGGAAAAATTTACTATTTTGTAGGATTGTAAGGATGATTAAAGCTGCAGTAGGTAACTTTTATAAATATAACTTTTTGTCATATTTGCTGAAACTTTCACTATACCCTGACAGTAGAACATGAGACAGATAATCAGGTTCCTCTGGCTCCTCCTAGTGCACCTAATGGCATTTGCAAGAATCCACCAGATCTGAACGGAAACAACCAATCAGAGCAAAGAAACCTGATTTTTTTTCACAGATTATTTGTCTCATGTACATCAGAATACACTGAAACTTTCAGCAAATATGTCAATAATCAATACAAACAATATCAAATTTCCTACTGCAGCTTTAAGTTATAATAAAATGTATTGTATCAAAACTTAAATCCTGTAGGATAGTAAGTACTGGCTTTGTACTTTGTCTGAAACAGATACCCGTACAAGAGCGGCAGTGAAATCATTCACATCGAACTCTTCAGCACAGACTCCTTCCTCTACCAGCGCGCTATACTGGGCTGCAGCCAGGACTTCATTTCCCAGGTCACCGTCAATCGGGCGGGGACTCATGTTGTGGCCTTTTGCCCCTCCCCTCATACCGGCATCACCGAGCTGGTCACCTGGAACCTGGAGACAGAGGACCACAAACACATCACTCGTTTCCCCGCAGTGCTGACCAAAGGTGTGTGCTCACAGGGCTGCTCACACACAGAATGATTCATTAACCATTTGCTCTCCAATCATAGCTTAGCAACCGTGATTAGACATTGCAGGTCTGTCAAACACAAGAGCAAAAGTGTAAAGAAGGGGTTCAAGGGTTTGTTGTCTGCTCTCTTGTCAGCTGCTAACATTAGCATGCCAGGCTAACTAGCTTGCCATTTATGTTAGTAACTCTTCCAAGGCTAAGAGTTAGCATTTCATTAGTTAACTAGATTATTTGATGGGGTTACAGGTCACTTACCCACATTTTCCCAAAATAGTGTTTTCATATCATTGGTTAGTTCTCTTCCTCAAGTGTTTTCTCATGTAAAGGTGAAAAACATTCAAAAAGGCTGACTTTCGCGTTTCTTGTCTATGGAACTTGTGCAATTCTTCACACACACACACACACACAATGGAGTTATGTATGATTTTTTACTGTACTTACAGTAAGGCTATCTAGAAGAAAAATGCTGCTCCATTATCTCCATGTCCTCTATATGGATCATCAACTAGTGATGATGCTGACTTTTTCCTGGGACACGTGCAGCTTTAGCATCTTTTTCGCGTCATTACACAGCAATAGTTAGCCTGATGTATGTAGTCATCAAATGCATATTTAAGACCAGATTTCTCATTTCAAGTCAAACGGAAACAATAAGAAGGCTGCTGGCGACAGATGTTTATTACCCAGCTTCTCTATAAACAGATATCTGCATATGAATGCAGAATTTGTCAAAATGTGTCAGTCTTTTGTATCAAGTTGCTAAGCGGACAGCAGAGGAAGTCTTGGCCCTGATATACATTATCCGTTATCTGTATCCAGATATCTGCTGGCTACACTGGAAGCTGCGGAACATTGACCAATGTCCCCAGAGTCCACATTGTTAGCTCATGGGTTCCATGACTGATTGCTGATTAAATCTCGTAGTGACAGTCGTCATTATAGCCAGCCAAATCAACGTATGACTGAAAATGAGAAGGGTCAGCTGAAAGGACAAATCTGTTTTTGGGAGCACTGAAATAATGAGATGGCTGTAACTCAGTCCATAGGGACTTGGCTTGGGAGTATAGAGTCTGGACTGGTAGCTGGTAGCAGAGGTGGCAGTTATGCCGAGGTGCCCTTGAGTAATGCACTAAACGCTTAACTGCTCCCAGGGTGCCACTTACGTGACAGCCCATCACTCCACGTTTGCTGTAAGCCCTGTGTGTGATCGTATTTCGGGCCTGTATGTGTTTAAAAGCAAATGGAGTGAAAAAAGAATTTCCCACTCTGGGATTAATAAAGTGACACACATTCCTTTACTTTCCTTAAAGAGTTACTACACCCACAATAGTCTGTTGGAGCTACCATTCAGCCTGTAGAGGTCAGTGCGGTAATTCTAATTTCCCCTCAGGTCTGTGTTTTGATCTGCGCTTCTGCCTGGGGATCTGCAGCGGAGAGAAGTACCTCCACCTGTGGGATCTGACCTGCAGGATCAGCGACCAGACTCTGACCTATAACATCCACAAGCCCCGGAGTGACGGCACAGAGGAGGTCATCCCAATGGGGAAAACCCTGAGGTACATACTGAGATGGAGACGACAAAGACAAAATATATTTTTTCTGTTGGACAAAGAACCATAGACTATGTTACAGATCAGCAGACTAATCAGTAGTTAATTAATTGTCCATCATGAGACAAAAAAGCACAAATGTCATATTTTCTATCTTCTTATTCTACTTTATTTCTTAATATATTGAATATATTTTACCTGAAGATCACTTTCTCCTACGTTAAGAAGCCAGCTTCCTTCTTCCTGATATTACCCTTTCAGTACTCCACTCATGTTGCAGGTGATTGGCCTATAATTAAAGGCTCTTTGATGTTAACATGCTCTCAGCTGGACTGGGGCACCCAGGGTTCACTGTGCCAGTTTTATATTCAGCTAATGTCAGGTTTAGTGACAGTTAGGGCCTCTACTGACTGTACTCAAAAAGTCATATTAAATGCCTGTATTTGAATGTATAGGTTGCCACATGTGCGTTATATATTTCGTTAAGTCACTAGAATCAAGCATGAATAAAATGTTAATTTTAGTAAGTTAATGCCATAATGGAACCACTATAATGGAAGATTGATGTGATGACCAGTTTAATCTTTAATGATGTTCCAAGAGGGAATTCAGGAAACGTTTTCTCAATATTTAGTCAGGAGGCCATGATATAAATGAATTTTCTGTTTTCTTTTGGAATTTTTCCAACCATAGGAGAATGAAAAATTCAGGAAATATGAAGTATAGGTATCAGGATCGGCACTTTCCACCAACCTGGCACCTAATGTCCAGTCCCTATTTGCATTTTCTTCTTTTTGCTGGACTCTGGCTCCCTCTGCTGGCAGGTATGCTGTGTGCCGCTCCATCAGAGCTGGGACGGTGTATGTGTGGAACCTGGGCAGACGGCGTTTCGTCTGCCGACCGGTTCGAGTAGAGCACGGCCTCTACAGCAGCACCGACACAGTCCTTGCCCACAACTTCAAACTTTACATCTTTACAGACAGGAGCACTATCAGCAGCGTGGAAGCCCCCCCATGTCGATTCCAGGTCAGACTCTCATCTCGACATCTCATTTTGGGAACACCTGTTCAGAAACACTGACATGTCATGTGTGACTTCCCAGACTCTTCTGGTGTATGATTTGATCAAGCGGAGCTACGTGAGGAGACAGACTGGGATCGCGGTGATTCCCTGTCTCCAGCACGAGTACCGTCTTCTGGAGGATGGGCGGACCCTTCTGGGCCTATCAGAGACCAGGTGGGAGTTCATCTGGGAAATACAGGCAAAGTCTGCAATGATTAGGGATACCCTACACCACATAAGAGTAGAGAATGGCTTAAAAATGTATGTAATATGTGAAATGTATGTTGAAAAAAAAACAACAAAAAACTATGTAGTCCACAAATACAGGCCTGGAAATTCAAACAAAAACAAAAAAAAATCAAACATTTTAATAAAGCTATTCTTACTGTATATTAGTATATCATATGGCCCAGTTAAGGTTCTGTCTCTTTGGTGTCATTGCAGAGATCATCTGATCCTCTGGGATCTGGACTTTGGCTCTATCAAACATGAGATCAAAGCATCCCACAGGGAGTCGATCCTGTGTAGCAGCACAGTCCCAGACCTGCAGCCTGATGTGACAGCACTCAGGGATGCAACATGTGAGCTGCCTGTTACTCTCTCTGTGAACAGCCTCTTTAACAACATTCACGTTTACTGTGAGTATTAAAGCTGCAGTAGGTCATTTATATAAAAATATTTTTTGTCATATTTACTGAAACACTATCCTTACAGTCGTTTCTCATCCAGGTCCGGTGGATTCTTGTAAATGCCATTAGGAGCACTAGGCGGAGCCAGAGGAACCTGATTTTTTCACAGATTACCTGTTTTATGTACTGAAAGGATATTTTTTATAAAAATGACCTACTGCAGCTTTAATTTGAAACCCAATAGAGCACCATATCAGTGACAAAGTTTTTCAAAATTCTACAAAAGGTGGGAAGTAACCCTAACCCCTCTACTGTACTTTTGTTACTGTAGTAGTTTTTTCAGGTTTTCTTTGCCCCCTACAGTTTTACACACTTATCTGTACTTTCTGCTCCTTACTTTTCTTTTTCAAAACATGCTTCTTACTTTACTATTGATGCATTTGAGGGAAATTATTTGTATTTTTTTGCATCCTTGCCTGCAGTTCCAACACCAAGACCAGTACATATCACGCATTACAGACGTAACATGACAAAACAGATGAGAGAGGGAGACTTGACCCTGTTTGAAATTTCAGTTAGCTTTGCACAGAAACAGCTGGTATAAAATGTCTTTCAGAGAAAGAGTGTACTACATTTCAGAGGCTGTGGTTATTGTAGTAAGGAATGTGTGTACTTTTGCCTACTCTGGATTCTTCACTTAGTGGCTTTAAAGTTGTGAACATAGGCAAAATGTCCACTCATATTTGTTTATTAGTATATTTGGATGTTATAATGGGAGAAAATGACAGCAGACGTCCTGCAGGTGTGAGTAGCCCTTTAAACCTCTAACAGATATCTCACAGATTTGGTTGTTTTTGAAGTTGTGCAGCTATAAAAACAATCGACCCTCAATAAAAAATAGCCTAAATAATAGATGCTCTGCTACCATGAAAACTTCCTGTTAGATCAGTCTTCATTAATATCTGGTCTGAACAGTAACTCTTGCCTTGTCACAGTGATGCCATGGGACGTTCGGACCGAGAGCCAGTCTGCAAAGAAGAAAAGGCTGGGGAGAGAGGCACAGAGGGAGAGGGAGGTGAAACGGAGGCTGGATGGAGAGAAATACAACTCTATAGAGCAGTACGTCCTCAGTGGAGATGAACAGGTACACAGCAGCAGAGCAACACAGCGACAGGACAAGATAATGTTTATGTTTAATACTCAAGTCCGATCTCTGATTTGTCGCTATTTTCTCTCAGACTTGGCCACTAGATATTCTAGTTGGTTGTCTTTTTCTTAAGTAACTTCCTCCTTCAAAACAAAACCATTAATGTTTGTTTGTTTTCATAGGTGGCGGTGTGCTCCTATTTTGCTCACCACCTCAACGTCTTCAGCATGGTTTCCCAGGAACACCTCCACACCCTGGAGGATAAATCATCACTGCTGAGCCTCCACACTGCAGCCCTTACCTACACTGGCAGCCACCTGGTGCTGACCAACTACAACCAAGACCAGAAGACCCCCTATATCACCCTGTGGGACCTGCACACAGGAACCGTGTGTTGTCACTGTGCAATGTTTAAACTTTATTGAACTCTTTCAACAATTATTCTTTGTGTTTGTCTGATGACCAAAATAGGTCATTTGTTATTGCCATGTGGATGATTTGAGATGTCTTATTGACATGAGGTTATTTTTGGTACAAATTCCTTTAGGTGAAGAAAAAACTGCGGAATGAGGCTGGAGTTTGCTGCGTAGCTATCACAGACGGTGGAGACAGAGTTGTCTTTGGGGTCAAAGGAAGCAACAGGTATGTGTTCGGCTTTCTTAAGGCGAGACACTTTTCATGCAGTGGTCAATTCTGAGATTTTGCACTATTTAGCTTCCATAACATGTCTTCTTTCAGACTAAAATGCATATCAGGTGTTTATTATTTTATCTTTGTTTGTGTCTGTAGATTTGACCAAAAGTTATCATTAAATAATGCCTCCTTTGCATATTTAAACATAACATTGAAAGAAAACTAAATACAGAAAATAATTGTCTTCATGTAAAACTACATCAGTGGTTGGCTAACTGAAGGCTAATATTAGCAAAACACTAGCTAGCTCAATAGATTTACATCAATCATTAATTAGCTACTTTGCTAGTTAATAATGTAGATTAGCTAGCTAGTTAGTGACTGTTTTTACTCTGCAACAAAACTGTAACAAACTAGCCAGTTAACAATTTATATAGATTAACTCAGTAGTTAGCTAGTGTTTTGCTAACTTAAGCTAATTTAAGATGTAACTATATATATATATATCTTTTATCTTTTAACCTTTTTCAAAATATCTTTTCAACATAGATTAACCTAGCACATAGCATATCTAAGTACAGGAAAGGTTCTGACCGAGGCTTGCTCAACTGTCATTGGAGCACAAAGCAAAAAGGGGCGGGGCTTAGAAAGGGTCAATTTGTGGTGCTTTGAATTTGTGCTTGTGTGTCAGTTGGACACTGACATGGCCGGTGTAATGAAAAAGGGGAGGAAACATTACTATTACACATTAGTATTGCCCTTTAAGATAACTGTGCAGCCTTATTTAACTTGAAGTCTCCAACACGCCTGGTTATGCATTTCAGGCACTGTCAAATTGGTGTATGACATCCAGATAACTGATCTCATAAACATTACAATATAATCTGGTGTAATTCATGTTTATTTGTAAGATTTTGAATCCAGATTGAGGCAACAAAGCTCGTCTGTGTGTATTTTGCCCCTTCAGTTACAGCGGTACAGAATGCTGCACACAGCTCTGTCTGTAACGTCAGCGAGCACTGAACTTTATTTATCGACAGTATTGACGTGCATGTTGATATTTAACAGTGTGCTATTTGGAACAGCCGTCTGGACAAAGGGTCTTCAACACGCGTTAGCATCATGTTATCACTTCGATTGTGACAGTCAGACAACGGGTCTCACACACGTCAGCCTCCGACAGCATCTGATCTATTTGTTGTAATTCAAGGTGTAAGTATTGCAGTAGCAGCCACAGAGCTGGAGCCTGTAGTATCTGTAAAACTGTTTAGCTCTTTATGTCTGAGGCCAGATACAAATAAGGTCGAGAAGGCTCTGGCTTTGTAATAAAAACTAAATATAAGATTGAGCCCCCTTCACCACACTAGTCATCTATACTGTACCTAAGATGCCTTGTCTTTAGCTCCTCTTCTTCAGAGTGCTCTAATACATCAGGGGAACATCCAGCTCCACTTTGTATGCTACTGTAGTTCTTCAGGGTGACACTGTGCTCGACAGCAACATTTACTCAGATAATGAATTCCACACAGCAGCTGATGTGTGTTCACAGCTGCTGCAGGGGAAGCAGAGGTCTACCACACTCCACAAAACTGGAGGATGTTTTGAGCGAATGAAAGTTCATTCTTCAGCATGGAACCATTATTTTTTAAACAATCTTAAAGTTTTTTCTGGAGCATCTCATAGTCTTCATCAGTGGTTTTATCATGGTCATGTGATAACAGCTGACCTATCTTCAGGAAAAGTAAGCAAACTCTATTCGCTAACAAAGACAGTGAGACGTTGTTTATTTTTGTGAGTTTGCTGAAAAAATATTATTGACTATGGTCCGTCCTATTTACTGGAGTCGTGAATAATTTTTCCATTGCAAAAGAACCTTATTGATGATTCTTTCAGGTATTAATCAAACTCTGAGGCGTTACCATGGAAACAGAGTTATGGCTTGTAAAAAACTTTAGAGTTTGATTGAAAACGCATGAAAATATAAATGAGTCCTCTGAAGTGAGGTGTTCATTAATTCCTGATAATGGACACCTTGTCAGGCATTATCCCTAACAGAGTGCAGATTCATAAATACATTATTTAATACATTTAATCAACCTTTAACAAATTTGACGTATAAAATTAAAATATAAATACTTTCTTTACTGAGCTAACCCTTTTTTTATTGACCTTATTTTACTTATTAACTTATTTGGTAACTTTATTATAATTACAATTATTACTACTGCTACCATTATTATTATTGCTATTATTTTGAAAGGTTGGGATGTGGTGGGAAGGAATTTACAGTAGTTATTCTCATACAAATGCTTTGTTTTACTTTTATGAAAAGTAACTACAGTAAGGGGTCACAAATAAAGAGTGTAAAAAACCCCCCAAAAATAAACTATTTTGGAGAACATGAGGGGGTTGAATAAGGACCTACAGTGGATTTGCCCCCCCAGGGCCCCCTATTGGGTTGATCCAGTCCTGCTGTCAGCCTTCACATGCTAACATAAATGTTTCACACGTCAGTCAATACTCAATGAGATGATAATGATGCTAATCGTCCTGCCATTGTGTTCCACTAGCATTTTGCTGACAAGCAAATCCAGTATTATCTGTACTCACGTTTACATGTTTTGATGTGAAAATGTTTTCTTATATATTCATTAGCGTTGCCTATGTTGGCTTTGACAGGCTTAAAGTGTGGGATCCCTTCAGGAGGAACTACAGGAGCATCTGTGGCTATGGGAACCTGACGATAGAAGTCTCCAGTGAGCTTTACATGACAGAAGGAGGAACCAGAGCCATTCTGCTGTCAGGTAGGAAACACAACTGCAAGTTATTAAAAGCTCCTATAAAAGAATCGAAAGGCTTATTAGGGCCTCAGTCATATGACTGTGTTTGTCTTCACACTCTGCTGCTAAAAAACAACTGTTTCCTCAAGGCTGTTTCACATGAAGGTGGCATATTGCATCATGTTTTCACACTTCCAAGCAAGTGAAATCCTTCCCAGGCTGATATATACAGTTATTTTTATATAATGCCCATTTGCTGTTGTTATGATTTATCATATTTAAAATTGACCACATTAAGGGGTTGATTGACCCATATTTTTAAATATAGAAAAAATCATTAGAAATCTTATGTGAATTATACGTGTATTGTAATTTGGGTGAACTATTGTGCAAAACAAATTACAAATAAGTATTAAGCGATTTGTTTTGTTACCAGCAGAGTCCGTCTCTCCAACAGGTGATTTAAATTGTGATTATTTTCTAGAAATGAATTTCCAGGCCTGTATTTGTGGACTACATAGTTTTTAAAGAAGACACATTTGTACCAAACATAATTGTAAATACCTCTCGTTAATACAGTTGCTTGGGTTCAAAAGTCAACTTCTAAATTTAGTTACTTTTCTATAGAAAAGGTTTTGCCCAGCTTTGTCCATATTAAGTGCTTTAAGATATTACATTCATTGTTACAAATTGCTCCATGGTTAACAGTTGTAAATACTACAGACTCACATTCATAGTGCATAGTATCCAGGCAACAGCCAAGAGTCTTCTTCCTATCGTTTGGACAACAGACAGAATTAGCGTTAATTAACTTCAAATGAGCCCATTTGCAGATGACAGCTGACATTAAAGGGGGTTAATCAACGGTTGCCAAAAAAAACTTAATTAACACTTTATTTGGATGGGAGGGTTTGTATCATTTCAACTGTTCTGTTGTGTCTGTAGATGTTTAATATGTGTATCTAGAGACTATATATAACAATTCATGAACATATCCAAACCAAGATGTTTGGATATCACAGCTGCTGTGAACCTGAACCACAGTGGTGTTCAGTCATCAGTTGTTGAATTTGAACTGATAAACTGTTAAAATACTCTACACACAGAGCTTAAAGGTCCTGCACACTGGCACAGATGTTTGGACTTATTCTGCCTGATTAGAACTATGCTCCTGTTGAAGGTGGACAGAGCTATGCTGAGAATTATTTGAGGTCCCCAAACTCTATGTAACATGGATTCAGCATCCTCAATAACCCCCAAAACCATGCATACATTGTCCAAATCAGCCAAGCAATTGCTGAAATATTGTTCATATGGGTGATTATGCCAATGATTCCAATTGCCAACATATGCAAATTAGCATCTAGCAGCATACTGTACATTTCGAACACGGGTTCCAACAAATTCTGTGTTAAATTTGTTGGCAAGTAGACTATACCCTACTATTTCATGTCAAAATGGCTGCTGTGGAAAAGGTCTATAGCTGTGTGACTTCTAACAGAACTGTGGGACCTTTATTGTTAAAACGCACTTGGGGAAAAAAATGCACTTGCTGTCGCTAAATCATGAAGAAGTGAAAACATGGGGATTATAACACATCACCCACAAACGACTTACAGAATCTTCTCTTTTTGTCACATTGGTGGAAACGGGCTTCCATACTGTGCACACTGCTATCTTATGAAATACATTGATTTGTCATATCAAACGCAGCACAATGTCTTCATGTGACTTCTTATGTCGCTACAATAATCCAGGACAGCTGAGCCTGTGGGACCTGGAGGCGAGCAGCGTCCTGTCGGTGCTCTCTCTTGATGCACGCGTCCGCTGCATGAAGCTGCTCCGTGGATGCGAGACCTCCGTTCTGCTCGGCCTCAGCCACAGCCCCACCCTCATCAGCACCAGGTCAACGTCCAGTCATCCTGTCAGCTCAGCAACTCGAGCTCCCAAAGACGAGGACCTGTTTGGAGAGTCCAGCAGCAGCGAGGAGGAGGAGGACTCGTAGGACTTGTAGGGCACACATCAGAGAATGCAACATGAAAGAACAAGAGCAAACTAAATCCTTAGCATGGCACATGGAGTGAGAAGGGGGAAAAGATGGAATGTTATGTGGAAATTATCTGGATGTGACAAATTTAATTGTGTCTTTGATTTTTCATGAATGTCAACAAACTGCAGGTTTTTAATCTCCAGAGGGAAGGGGTACAGGCTCTGATGTCTCCAGGACCAATGCAGGACTTAATTGTTATGGAGTAGTTTTACATGCACACAGCATATGTAAGTATAGGAAAGGAGAAAGTTGACAGATGTTCCAAAAGGAGCAGAGCTGATGAAAGGAAACGATGAAGTCTCTGCTAAGGCACAGGACACTGTACGGGCTTGTTTCAGGCTGTACAGAGACGTTGCTACACACTTCACGCAGAAGGACAAAAGAGAACTGAGTGACTATACTTTGTTTTAATGAATATAAAAAGAAATGTACACAATAGTGAACCAGTGAAAACATTATGTCCACAAGCATGACGTCCTATTCCAGTGTCCCATCAACAATCATCTCCTCAATTAAATATTAACCTCTTGTAAACATATAACATGTGTTGGTTATTCTCTACAAGCCATTATTGTATAGAGACAGACACTGATTTCAAATCATTGAGTACAATTAAGAAAGTTAAAATAAGAACTGGCCAAAACTGAAGAAAATAATGACCATTAGCAGGAATACCTCTTTTTTTTTTTAATTGTCCAGAATGAAAAGGGGCAATAAACCAAAAGATGCTTTCACTTTCTCTTAAAAGTCAAAAGAAAAAGAAAGGTCTCACAAAAAGCAGAACTTGAGGAAGATGGCCGCTCCGAGCTGATGATTCTTGCAGCAGCTGGACGCCCCACTGGCTAAAGTACACTTATAGCCAGTGGGAAGAGTCAGTGATGTAACAGCACAAGTTCAATCACAACTTGTCCTTGATTAATAATAAGCACTGCTACTAATGGTGTTCCATTGTGCTCTTACAACATCACGAGTACTGTTATCAACTACAGCTGATCTGAACCCTCAGGCTTCCAGACGAGGAGACTGGTCACTACCTGGATCTGCGGTCTTTTCTGTTTTTGTCTAGGCTTTTGTCCATGGTCTTTTCGTTGTCCCCTCTGCATTTGGGGCAGTACCACTTGCCCTTGGGCTTGTAGGTCAGCCCCACACAGGAGAAGTGGAACCACTCGATGGGGCACTGGTCGTTGTCGCAGCCGATCATCTCGCCGTACGACACCTGCTCGCAGAGGCAGTATGTGGGCTCGTTGGGGTCGATGGCGAAGTCGACCGGCGAGGCGTCTCGCTCCTGTTTGGCCTTGCGTTTTTTCTTCTTCGCAGACTTGGACTTCTTCTCCCGGGGCGGGGGGATGGACAGCTCTTCCGCGGGGTCGTCCACCAGGGAGCCGTTGGCCGACGGGTGGCTCGAGTCTCGGCTCTCGCTGTTGCGCTGGCGTCGCGGGCGACGGGCCGAGGTGCGTTCGGGCGCCGGGGAGTCTTGGACACTGGAGCGCCGTTCCGTAGTGAGACGCTCTGCCTCGCTTGGCTCCTGGAGGCAGAGGGAGTGGGAGTCCATCTGGCGGGAGCGGTTCTCAACCAGCTCTGTCATCTGGGTCACTACGTGGATCTTCTCGTCACCCAGCTCCTGGCTGATGATGAGCGCTCTCTGCAGCTGGATCTGCAGCCGCTTTCTCTGAGCCGAATCCTGCTCAGCTTTGTACTTCTCAAAGACTTCATCCACCTCCTTTAGCACCTCTGCAAAGTAGGGTACAAACAGGTTTTTATTAAGTAATGTACCCAAGAATCACTGAGGTTTTTAAGAAATATGTCAAAAAAGTTCTTCTTGTTCCTACAGTGTGACGTTTGAATGATGTCTGTTTGACACATTCATTTCACTGGTGGCTTCAAGTTTCTACATCACACTGTACAAGTTGATACTGGACCAGGACTGACTTCCTAACTTTTTGTGATGTCACAAATCATGCTGGTAGGCCCCGCCCCTTAAAATCAGATGTTCAATGATCACAGAGAAACTTTCCACTTTCAGCAGATGAATGTGAAAACATCCTTCTAGAGTCAAACTGCACAGACAGCATTCAAACAGCACACTGTAGGAACAGGGAGAAACACTGATTCCTGACTGGAGGGGAGCTTTAAAATGTAAACATTGAACAATTAGACTGTATCTATGTAGAGGGGGCGGTCATGCAACGTTAAGAATGCCAACTGCCGTAAAACCGTAATGAAGAAGAAGAAGAAGAAGGAGGGAGGGCTGAGCTGCAGTCAGTCCCTGCCTACAGGAAATGACGGCAGTCAGATGTTGAAGGGGGTTGCCTAGAAGAAGAGCCATCCGGCTCTGCGGCTCACACTCGACGGAGCAGAGTGCAGGCAGATACCGTACCAGCCCTCGGAGATGTGTAATCTCGATTTAAAACAACCTAAATTTAACGCGTCGGTCATTCTATCGCTGTGTGTCACATAATGTGTCGATGGTGCCGTGGAACGTATTGTTAACAGAGGCTGGCTGTAAGCCTCCGCTCACCCTGCGTCAACATAAAGCAACAATGAGGATTGTTGTTACGTTAAAAAACGCCAGTGTATGTTAGCCGTGCTCACCGGTCAAGGGTTCACACCTCAGTGATCACAATTTATGATCTCATACCCCTCCACACAACGCTCTGGGCTTCGGCATACATTACATGCACCAAGCAGCAAATAAATGCCCAAGTTTAGTCATTGTTTTCCCCGGTATTCGCACAATAATCCACCGCGGAAACACCGTAGTGGGCGGCAGTGTGTACTGAAAAAGTTGCGATTTTATGATTACCCAGGAATAGTTTTCACACTATATTGATGCCGAATATGCCATTGAACACAATGTATTCATAACAGAGCGTGTGTGAGGTCATAATGTATATGTACGCTTGTCGAGAGAAAGAAATATCACATTTCAGGATTTTCCTCATTGAGGTTGGTGGCAGACACAAAACAGGACGGAGTGTATCCGGGCTACGCTAACTGACGGATGACTGACTTGTTATTTTAACACTCGTCTCGTCAGTGCCATTATCCACCTTTGAGCCAGCCGCTGTGTGTATGTCGGAGTACATATGGTTCGGTTAGCTCGGCTTTTTTTGCTAAATGGGAACACAAGGCTCGCGCCTGCTCCACCATTCGAGCACACCCTGTCACACTGCCGTTAATGTTTGCCACTTCTACACACGCACTTGTAATTGCCGGTAAAAACACGAAAACACAATACCTTGATACTTTGCATCAATTTCTCGAAGCAGAGAAACATTTCTTTGTATGTCCAAAGGCAGGGACTCCACACATTCCAGATAATCCTCCACATAGTTGACCAGTTGTTGCGACTTGTCGGCATTTGGGTAGTGGTGGCCTAACATCGTCTCTACGATGCATAGAGGCACTGAAACAATATGGACGAAATGTGAAAAATATACTGTTAAAATCAAAATGCTTGGCGACTTTGCAGCTTGTAGGGCAGTCCCAGGCAGCAGTTCACTTCAAACAAAACTCAAGCCACTGCGCATGCGGGAGTATTTTCCTTTTATGGGATTGTACAGTTTCCTCTCGTTTGTCGTCATGAAAGGCGGGGCCAGTTAAGTTTGCGGCCTCAGGATTGGTGGACAGTGACCTCATTATCATAACATTTTCCCGGGAAATTAAACCAATGGGGAAATTGAAAACACATATCTACCGTAGTTTAGACGGAGACCAAATTTGACCTTGTGTTTTTGTTTCATATTAGAGCGCAGCAGCAACTTTAAACCTTAAAGTCTTGTTTTGGCATACAGACATTATGAATATATTTGATAATTAATCATCAAGTTGTGTTTCCGAGACAGAAATTAGTCAAATTGAAATTTTGTCATAATTGAAAAATAAAAACCAGTTTTACTGCAGTATAGTTCTGCATTTTTCATTAGTTTTAATTAAGTGTAGTTAAGTTTCAGGTAGTTTCCAGAGTGGGTTTCTTTTGTTGAACATTTTTTAAAATATTATAACCTTGGTTTACGTATATTATTATTGTACCAACATTTTTAACAACATAAGAATTAAGATTTCGATTTTTGCTGTTGTTGATATTTCTTCTACATTTTGTACATAAATTTGGCCTTAAACTATAAATGTCAACAATAAATTCTCTAACTATATGTATTAAAAGTGTTCTAAATATTTATTTTTCACATTGAAGTACTTGACAGACAGATTTTGGGGGGAAAATCCTGTACCTTACTTCTACTACTACTGCTGCTATATTGCAACTGGATAGTGCCTTTCAGTAGAAAACTCTCTTTTTTTTAAATTTAGGGTTTATTTTCCTCAGACTGTCCCTCCAGAGCCACAGAAGACATTCTACTACAGTTTTTCAGGCAGAGATGGGGAGATGGGTGACGTTTGCAACAGAGCGATTGCAACTAGTCTTATTCCTCTAATCAGAAACATGCTAGCGTGATGACACTCATACTGCACATATTCATTTAGACCCTATCAGGAAAACAGGGGAAAAAAACATGTGCTTCTGCATTTATTCGAAAATATCTAGATTTTGGAGGTATGAAAGTAATTTTTTCATGAGCAGTATTTTTGTCATACTCTTCTGACTTTTTGTATGAAAGAATCAAAACTTAGTTTGAATCATTGTGTTTTTTGACTCGTATGTGTCAAGGTCAGCGTGTCTAGCTGCCACATGATGTTTTGTCATGGCTTATGGGGTGGGGATGGTTGCAACAAGTTGTTGCAAACTAAGCAGCCATATCAAAACAGAAATCACAACAGTATTTTTGAACATGAAGTGAGGTCAAGTTCACCCAGTTTGCATTGTAAGTGATTACATTCTTCCTGTCGCACGCTAAAGTATATGTGCAAGTGTAACATCTGCTCATTGACTCAAGGTAGGTTGCCTCAAAGATATTCTACACATAAAAAAAACCTCATAAAGTAACTGTTATTTTGTAAATATTACCATGTAAACAAATAATATGATAATAGTGCAAAAGACAATTTAACAAAAGTTAATTCGGGAAATTGAATGTATTTTTAACATGTAGCCCTTGATTGTGTTGCAACCATTCCCAGTCTCCTCTAGTACTCTATATGACTAAGAAAGTTACCTTTACTACCACAGTCAATTCAGCCTCACCCTAACCCTGCTCTAATAATGCTGATCCACTTCGTTTCCAGTAAAATTTGGATGTTTCTGTGGCATTAGCTGGAGTGAACTGGCTGTTAATGCCAGTAAATAATGAGATCAGCCAGGAACCGAGCTGACAGCACACACATGGCTCTATCCAAAGCACTTCAAAGGCTGAACACAGAGTCACAAGGTTGAGGTGAGAATAGGCCTGACTATGATAATATGCAAGTTCCTCCTTCAGACAAGCTCATAATTAAAACAGTGTCACTGTCAACCACATGCTCGCGAGTGTGTGTGCGTATTTGGGAAATATCTTATTTCCTCTTTCTGTCACATGTCAGGAAATATTCTCAGTGTCCTGTCTATTGTCTGTTGATGGCAACAGCAACATTACAGTACATCTACCTGTTTACTGCCAGTAAAGTGTAAAGATTTGATGTTTGTCAAATAGAAAAAACACAGAAAATGAATTGGCTACCATTTTAATAATGATTTAATAATAAATTGTTTTATTTTACATCAGCTGTTTTGACAGATGATGTAAAATAAAGGAAATTCTTGCAATAAAGGAAAATTCAACTTGGTGGTACCATTTATATAAAGAAGATGCATTTGAGTTTGTATTCAGATTGACACTCAAGGCTTTTACATCATGGGTTTATAACACTAACATAAAAGATGGACGACATGACAGCTTCCCACAGTGAAACCAAAACGTGTCGATCATCCTCTGGTGTCTGACTGCAGTAAATAACAACAGATGGGACATCGCATGGGCCAAACAAAAAAATCAAAGTACATGTCAAATACGTTTTTCCCAAAGATGTTTTATGTCATTTTAATTACTTATTTTAAGCTATGAAAAGGCGCCAATCCTGCAGAGTCTGGCTCCAAATCAAGTTACAAGCCAAGATGGCAGCGGCTGTTTTCGGGATATTTTAGCCTTTAGAAGTGGCGACACAACATCCATCTTTTCACACACCGATGCAAGGCATTGGGAGCAACTTTGGGGTTCAGTATCTTGCTCAAGGATACTTTGACATGTGGCACCAGGAGCCGGGGATCGAACCCACAACCTTCTGATTAAGGAACAACCCCCACTGCCTCTGCCTCTGTGACTGACATAAGGATGAGTGTTATTGTTCTTTACGTTGTTATATAAGGATAAATAATGCACTTATAGGAATGATTTGTCATGTTTATGTTCTTTCCATGCAGGAGATGTGTTGTTTCTATTAAACTTTTGAAATAACAAACTGTCAAGACGTATTTGACAGTTCATGTGTAAAATATAATATTATATGTTAAATATGCATAGGTATGTTTTCATTAGTGTATAATCACCTGAAAATAAGAATTGTTTTTGTTACCTTAGAATGAGTGCACCATGTTGAACTGCCATGTTGCTACAGTAGCCCAGTAGCCTCATTGAAAGGGAATCTATTAAAGGTCCAGTTTTTAAGACTTTCAAATGAAAGTGAAAGTGTGACAACCAACATTTCCTACTACTACCATCACACTGCTATTCTCAATACTAATTCTACTATTGCTACTATAATTGCTACCAGCCTACCACTACCAGTCATTTACTACTACTACTACTACTACTACTACAACTAACTACCAGTATGAAGGACTATAATTCCTACACTACTATTGGGCCTACCACACCATAACGATAACTACTACTATCGAGACTATGACAGTACTACTATTACTCCTACTACTATTACTGTTACTGTTACTGTTACTCCTACTACTTTAATTACAGTTGCTACCACCACTACTAGTTCTAAGTCTACTGCTGGTGCTGTTAGGACTTATTGCAGTTAAGAGTGTGTTCCCATGTACTGTAGGCTACAGGGAAGCCTAAAGCCAATTTCTTCCTCCAGTAAACTGTATGCAATGTAGGTAGTTGAGATATGATCATGGTAAATGTAGTCCTAAATCACCATGGGGCCAGTGCAGCTGTCAGTCCTGTTTCACACAGTTTCGTTTCATTCTGCTCTCAAACAACATGTGACATTTATCTCCCATTTTAAGCAACAGGCCCCCTGCCTGCTGTCTCAATAGTTTCGTTTCCCCGAACACTGATATCATTTGGACAGTTTACAACAAGTAGCCCTTAAGAAGTAACACTACTGCTTCCGGTTAGTGCTTTCAAAATAATATGTCTACAGCGTGTCTTCAAAAATACTCCAGATTACGGTAGCCTAATAATTTAATATCATAATATAATTATCATTTAACTATTATTATTAACTTAGATATTGATATATTAAGAAAAAACAGTATTATCCATGAATTTATAAGAAATATACAGTAAACAATTTTATAAGGAGTACTAGATCTGCTCTATTTGAAAAGTGTCCTGAGATAACTTTTGTTTAAGTAGGGTAATACAGCTCTGCATATAAAAAGATAGATATTTTTAGTTATGCATGTATCAAAAAGTATTTAGAATTTTTATTTTTGGCTCCCCTTTTTACCATGGACTCAGGGCCTGGAGGGCTGGTATGGGACGGCATCTGCCAGCCTTAAAAAAAAAAACCTGGCCACCTCAGTTTGGCGTAAAATGCTGTCAAATTTAACATAGTAATTTAGATCTTTAAAAATACGATTTTTTCCCTTTACTGTACATAACATAGTAGTCTAACAGGCTACTTGTTGCAACTTTATTTGACAATTAGAGATGCTTTTATTTTTATAAATCCAGCGTTTCCGGTCAGGTTTGTGCCTGCGGCAGCTTCGCGCTTGGCGCTTGTTTATCAGCGGAGGCGCAGCGCGGCAGCCGCACAGTGAACCAGTGTGAGGAGAAGAGCAGAAACTTGTCACCATGAAGACCGCTGTTGTGTTCGCTTTTATTGGCCTCTGTGTTCTGTCAGGTAAGACCCTTCTGTTTCCACTGGGACACACTGAAGGCAAAAACAATCTGCTTCAGCACTTTAGTGAAGAACAAAAAAAGTTTTGCTCCTGCGCATGAATAAGTATTCAATATTTAACAGTAGACCAGTTGTGTTGCTTTATTTAGTGACAAATATCAGAACTAGGATTCTGTTAATTATCATGTCCAGCCTTTATTATGCGTTCATCAGAAAGTCTTGCAAGCAATTTTTTTTTAATGAGACATTAGGCCTTCATGTTTTTATGAGCCCTGTGGTCACTTCCTGGATTGTTTAAGGAACAGAAATTTCCGCAGTCTTTCGATAGTGTTTCAGGTTTGAGTCACATGTCTGCTGGCAGTGTAGGCCTTTCTTTTTTTTTCGAAGATGAGTCTGCAACTTGTTGAAGCCCAAACTCCAGTGAATGAAATATACATATAAATATACATATATACAAAAATACATTTATTACAATTCTTATTAGTAAACAAATAACTTTATATTTTTATAAAAATATATTTTTGTCATGTTCACTCAAACGTTCACTATACCCTGACAGTAGTACATGAGACAGATAATCTGTGAAAACATCAGGTTCCTCCAAGAAAGATAGTTTCTCATTCCTAAGCTGTCAAGTATCGATGCTGGGAACGAGACTCAACAATCAACTATCTTTAAGACAACAGCCCAGAGTGTCTTTCTTGGCTCTGATTGGTTGTTTTTGTCCAGGCCCGGTGGATTCTCACAAATACCATTAGGAGCACTAGGAGGAGCCACAGGAACCTGATTGTTTCACAGATTATCTGTCTCATGTTCTACTGTCAGGATATAGTGAAAGGTTCAGAACGTATAACAGAAAGTTATTTTTACTAAGTTACTTTCTGCAGCTTTAAGTATGTTTAATTACTAATAAGATATCAAATCATATGGTTTAGAATTGTGCTTTTTTGAAAAAAGATTAATTTGTGCTTTGGTTGTTGTTTAGTTAATGCTCACCACTGACTGTGGGTCATAGTTTGTATTTACTCTTTTATCCCTGTGTTTGACAGCTGGCCCAAGCTCAACACAATCAGTAGCATGAAAGCGAGAACAATTTTCTCTGAGTGAATTTCTTTCTGATTTCTTAAGTCCTCTATGACAGTAAACGGAATATATGAAGGTTGTAGACAAAACAAGACATTTGAAGATGTCTCCTTGGGCTTTGGAGAACATTTTTAACTTTTAATTTTTTGGTCGAAACAACTAATCATTAATGGAGAACATAATCGACAAATTAATGAAAATATATTTATTTAAAGTGAACCCTCTGTGTATAAAGCCCAGTCACCAGTTCTATCTGAATCCTAAAATGAAACATTTAAATAACCACTGAACCTGCAGAGTCATAAATGTGCTGGCAGTGTCTGACGTCAACATGGAAAGCAGCCGCTATTAAACTAAATGAGTGTGCTGTTTTACTGTTTGTATGAAGTTGCTCACAGTTCAAAGATCAATAGTTCTAGTCAACAACCAGTAAAGCTGCACTAAAGTGTATTTCTTTTATATTAACAGTGAATTAAACGACCGTGTAATGTGAAAGGGGTTACTTGTACTAATAAACCCCCAGAGAATTATCACTGAACCATGCTAAAACAGGCTGAAAAACACCCTAGAGTGAGAGAGTTTTGTTTGGATTCGTTGTTATAACGTAGTCAAACTCCAGTTATAGTCGGGGGGAGAGAGAAAACATCTTTTCCATGGAGAAAACGTTCTTCTTTGTTCTTCTTTCAATGAAGAAATACTCTCCATTTCTGATATAACTGACACTAGCAGCATCTACACTAACCTCTTTAGCAGCCACCATTGTCGTATTCGAGTGATCAGTCATTTCTCACACACAGCTAGTGTTAAACCACGTCCGTAGCTCAAAAAGTAACCGCCAGTGGTTCCTCACAGGACGCTGATTTGGTCCACCAAATGGATTCTTGCATGATTTCAGCTGCCTCACAAGTTTAATCAAATTAGGCTAAATTGTGCTATCATCAGATACATTTCCAGCAGCAGCAGGCAGACAGAGTCAGCGACTAGCTGGGTAAGAAGATCTAGCATCTACATTGAAGATAATTACTTGTTTCTCCCTTTGTTTTTTTGACTGAAGCACTGTCATTGGCTGAAGACCTAAAGAAATCCAAACCTTCTGCAACCGTTTCCCCTGCGGGTGAGTTTTCAGCGATAACTACAACCACAACTCCCAAGCCTACAACCACAACTCCCAAGCCTACAACCACAACTCCCAAGCCTACAACTACAACTCCCAAGCCTACAACCACAACTCCCAAGCCTACAACCACAACTCCCAAGCCTACAACCACAACTCCCAAGCCTACAACTACAACTCCCAAGCCTACAACCACAACTCCCAAGCCTACAACCACAACTCCCAAGCCTACAACCACAACTCCCAAGCCTACAACCACAACTCCCAAGCCTACAACTACAACTCCCAAGCCTACAACCACAACTCCCAAGCCTACAACTACAACTACCCAAGCCTACAACCACCACTCCCAAGCCTACAACCACACCTTCTCCTACACCTACTGCCGCGGCCAACGTGAGTGTAGGAAACTACACTCTGCTTGACGACAAGAAAGTGATGTGCGTGATGGCTCAGATGGCGCTACAGATCCGACTGGCAACACCAAAGGTACACTTCATTAGTCAAAATAGATACAAGAGCCCCAGGAAAGAGTTCCGTGGTCTGGCTTGAGCAAATTTGAATCTTGAATGTGCATTTAGGGATTCATTAAGCCATGTAGAAATTCGTTAGCATGGAAAGAACTTCCTGCACGGACCTCTGACTCAGCTTTCAGCAACGCATTGTCAGCATCCTATTTTTAGGAATTGAGAAAAGGTTTTCATGCAACTTTTGATTTCCTCATTCCGGTGGGTTTGTGGAAGGTTAGATTTGTGTCATCTGTGTGGCACGTGACAATTGCTTTTCCTACATGACAAAACAATAACGTTTCTCTAAGTAACAATGCAGTTGACGTGGTACCTTCTGAAACAAGTTCTCTCTGTTCATCTCTCAGGCCAATGGAACCTTCATTGTTCAGCCGAACATGGTCAAAACAAAGGGAACCTGTCAGGACACCAAAGTTAACCTTACCCTCGCATTCAAAGAGGGTTTCATCACCTTCACGTTCAACAAGGTATTTTGATTTCCTATTCATCACAAACGTGGAAGTATAATCTTCAAACCTTTGTCTTTGATTTGGCATTTTACGAAACGTCTTGGCTAATTTCACATAGAAAATGGGATCAGAGGAGAATTTCTAAATAACAGGAAGTTTAGTTGACAAGCCTGTTCTAAGAGCATGTGACAGGATGACTGCCTCACACCGCCTCATGCCACAACACTATGATGATTATGGTTTTCCAAGTTGCAATCCAGATGAACAGGTTGTGAATGTTAAGCTTAACACCAGTGTATCAGCATAGTACCATTATCTCACACTGATTATATTTGCAAAGGCCCAACAACCACTGGTTCAGTAAGTGAAAGGAAAGATTGTGATTAAAACCCCAACCCTACTGTGAACAAATAATGTTGAAATATACAAGAACCTGTATAGAGACGAGATAACCTAAAAATATAGTTGTACATTGTGTGTATCAATCTATTCAGTTATGTTACAAGCATAACTTCCAGTATGGTAGAAAGTCCTTCTAAAATCCTGCTCAATGCACAATTACTCGCCTTTGTTGAAAAGACAACCACATTTTGAAGATAGTTAAAAGTTAAAAGTTATAAGCGACATATAGCTATATAGTCACATCTTAATTTAGCTAATGTCAGCAAAACACTAGCTAATTAGCTAGTTAATCTACATCAATCATTAGCTAGCTAATTTACATACATTGTTTGTTAGCCACTTAACTAACCTTTTCTAACATTAGCTAACTTAAGATGTGACTATATACAGTATGTGTACAGTATATATTTCAACAACATATACTTTATCAATTCAAATTCAGATGGCTTTAGTGGCGTGACATAACACTGTACATATTGCCAAAGCAAGCATGTAGATTTTTTAAAAAGCGAAACATTAATTAGAAAACATACTTCGGCAAATACAACAAAGGGACATACTACATTTTTATTTATTTATTTTATTAACCATCCACAAAATGTTGTCTTTTCAACATTGACTAGCCTAGCACATAGCATATCTAAGAACAGGAAAGGAGGAAGTTGACCATGTTTCCAAAAGGATGGGACTTAAGAAGGGTCAATTTCTTGGAAATTTGGGGGCTGTTCAAATCCCGCAGACCACAATATGGAGTGTGGACAGGTAGCTTGAGAGGTGCCAGTTTCACCTCCTGTGCACTGCCGAGGTGCCCTTGTGCAAGGCAACCTAACCCCAAAAAACTGCTCACAGGCACCCATCACTCCACCATCTCTCTCTCCCTGTTGCATGTCCACAAGTGTGAAGTGTGTATTACTCCATGTAGCAGCTCTGGATAACAACTTTGGTAAAAAATGTTCCTGTATTTCTTTTATGTCCTCAGAGTGTTGCTAATAACACCGTCTACGTTGACACCCTGTCTTTTAGCCTCTCCTACCCCTTCAGCAAAGGAGGTAAGTCAGAAATACTCACATTTGATTCCAGTCAAGCTACATATGATTTACCATCACCTTATTGATTCAACTTTAGGCTCCTCTAATTAGGTCACTGCGTGTGCACTGCTCCGAGCTCCAGGTGGGGCTTGTGCAAGACTGGCAAATATTAACAGACAACAAGTGTTCAAGAGCCAACAACTTCCTTGTTTGTGTGGTGTAAAAATAATCTGTGAAACTACTGTTGAGCGCGTGGTGCCGGGAACAACCGACCTGCTTTCAGTAGAATGTGGTCTGACAAGTTCAGTCTATTTCTGATCATCAGTATGTGTTTTTTTGGGAACTATCTTTTAACCTGGAAAGAAGTGAGCATTGCTTTGTCTAACTGTTGCAGGTAATGGCGAGTACTCTGCCAACAACAAGTCAATGCAGCTCTTCCCTACAAAGATCGGACACTCCTACTCCTGCAAGAATCAGTCACTCTACATGGGCAATGGACTGTACCTGGAAGTCACTCAAGACCGGATGCAGGCCTTCAATCTGACCAAGAGCAACGAGTTCGGCTTGCGTAAGTGTCTCCATGTAGAGAAATTCCTCAGGGAGCAATAAGAACTCATTATCAATACATGTAGCTGTCTCTTAAATGCATTGTTAGATCCATTCATGTAAGCAACACAATATTCTGCAATGTGAAAATACTCACATTAGAAATAAAAGTCCTGCATTCAACATTATATTTCACTAAAAGTATTAAGTGAAATATAAGTGTCATCAGCAGAATACACTCGTCCTTTTAAAGACCCACAGTATTACATAAAAATTGTGCAACAACAGTAGAAGCCTGTCCACTTGTGTGCAAAACTAAGATCAATATTTTCTGTGACTGCTGTATACTGTTGTCTGATAAATTATTTAAAAATACATGCTGTGAGCAATTGTGCATATACCCTCACAACTGTCACACACTGCAGCATCATGATGAATTACATGCCAGTCTATCATGAGCGACATGCTGTAAAGTGACACTTATTATCAGTGCAAAAAAAAAAAAGCTCAAGGCTAAAGCATGCGCAAGCTCTTTTTTATGTAAACAACCAACCAACGACAGACTGCTGGTGCAGTTAGACTGCAGTCAGACCTGCTATTCCTGGTCTGCAGGTGGCTCGTGATCAGTGCTACGGAGGTCATGGACAAGCGTCTTACCCAACTGATAACTGATTAAACTGTGATTGCCGACCTCACCCTGACATCTTTAGAATAATGTGTAATAACTCTAATAATTAATAAGTCTACTTTACATAATAGAGGAAGAGTTACAGAAAACCCCACTCTTATGTGTCTTTCAAATCTTACAGACTTTGAACTAGAGGTTGGCGATATATATCGTTTGCGATAATATCGTTGTTGTTTTGACGATGTGCAAATTTCCATTATCCAGTATTTAAATGTTGAAACGCACGCGGAAACTCCTCACATCCACTTAATACACGGTGCATTAACGCTCTCTACAGCATGGCAGGATTCAGTCACACCACTAGTGGGCCTACGTGATCACATGACCTCTCGCTAGCATCCTCCTTGCAACAGTTTAGCAGCGCGTTGTGATGGTAGAGAGAAAATGCAAACACCTCCAGTCCCTGAAGCTACCGGTACTTCAGATGATTTAGTGCCGAGACGTGGGTCTACCTCTCTGGCATGGAAATGGTTTAGTTTCGAAAAGACTTTTTTAGCGCAGCGCTCAGAGCGCTTCAAGTTGAAATCTGTTCAACTTTTAACACTGCTGGGCGCTCGGAAAATGAGTTTTTGAGCTCTCAGCGCTAAAAAACGCGTTTGGTGGACACAAGCCCTAACTCAGACAATTCCAATCACATTTTAAAGGATATTGACTGATTATTGTTATCACCAAAATCCCCAAAAATAACTAGATATTATTTTTTGCCCATATTGGGATGGTACAATCAATCATGGAGGAGTTTTCAGAATTACTGACTTAAAGCTGCTTAAAAAATAACTTTTTGTCATATTTGCTGAAACTTTCACTATATCCTGACAGTAGAACAAAAATCTTGTTCCTCTGACTCCTCCTAGTGCTCCTAATGGTATTTACAGCAATCCAAAGGGCCTAAAAAAAGAAAAGAACCAATCAGAGTGCTGTTCATTTAGATTTGTGGCTTAAAGATAGTTGATCATTGAGTCTCACTCCCAAAGCACCGGGATGTTTAACAACATGCAACCTAAACTTGAAAATGAAATTGAATTTTTGCAACTTTTGGATTCCAACTTGATTTGAGCTCATTTTATTGAAAATAAAATTGCAATAGCCTTTTCATGATCCTTTTTACAACAGTCAACATTTATATGGCCGGCCTTCTTGCAAAAGACCTATGAGAATTTCATAGGAGTTTTTATTTTGGTAGTAATTATGTGTCTTCAAATAAAAAAATGAAAATGTTATTAATATAATGTATTAATATTTGTATTCTGTCACCCATGACAAAGAGTTGTTGGAACTGAAATTTTAAGTAAAACTAACAACATTTTGTGAATTAACAAACAATCTTGGTAAAACAATTTTAATTGACACTGACTTCATTTTTACATTAAGTATTTTGTATTTTGATGTTTCCTGTTAGTGATATTAGATGCAAATCTGATGTGTTTATGTGTGTGTGTGTGTGTGTGTGTGTGTGTGTTTTCCAGCTGACCCGTGTCCTGCTGACCTGCCCAACTACAGTGTTGCCATTGGGGTGGGAGTGACATTGCTGGTGCTTATTGTGGTGGTGGTGGTGGTCTACCTGCTGAGCCGCAGGAAGAGGGCCGATGGCTACCAGTCTCTGTGAGGGAGGCTGGGCAGAAGTCAATCAGGGGTCACTCCCATTATAAACAAGGGTCAGTGAGGCTGTGATCTTTCTCAGGAGCTAAAGGGCACTTCAACTAAATGCTAACCTGCCATTTTTCTGTCCTTTTGTCTGTGGTTTACCCAATTTACTGTATTAACAGTTGTTTTAATTAGGGGTCCTATGTATGGAGGCTTTAGTGTGACACTAGAATAGTTGTAGAACTGAAAAGTGTTTTATCATAATCAATTAATAAATTGATCCATTTAAATGCTATTATAAAATGATTAAACAAATTAGCACAACAATTAGAAGTTGCACTGATAAATCTAAAGTAAAAAAATAAATAATTATTAATTCTTCTATTCCATCTTCAAATACTGAATTAGTCATTTAATTTTAAAGTGGAGTCACCATTTTTTTCTTCAATTTAATTAACTTCAGATAAACTTGAAGTTGACACACAAAGACATAAGCGATGCTTAAATTGATCCCAACTCAAGATGTTAAAACTAAATTACATTTAAATGAAAATATTTAAACTGTGTGACACAAATTAATTGTGTGAGAAAATATGGTTTAAGAAACATAACAAATGAACACAATTAATGAAGAAAACAATTATTAATTCATCATTTATAGAGAGATTGAGGAAATTCTCATTTCTGTTGAGTTTAATAATCCATCACTTAAATACTAAATGAATTAATCATTTTATAATCCCCTTTGTTTTATTATTCCTGTGGCATACTCTGGACTCCAATTTAAAACAAAATGTTTTATTTTCAACATGCCAATAGCCAGTCATTATAGGTGAGAGTGTTTGACCCCAGAAATGTATTCTCATCAGGGTGGACTGTGAAATACCATCTCTGTGCTGAGACACTAAAAATCTTGATGTTAATAATGACGGACTATACAAACTGACATCTTCAGAGATAAAACTGACCAAAATATTTCATTAGAATCAGTTGAGGTTATTTTTTCCCATGGACAGACAGTTTTAATACCTAACATTGGCTCCTTTAATCAGTCTAACCCCACATCATACATTACAGCAGTGGAATCACAACGTAAAATCAAATGAAGTCAGATTTTAACAACTTTTTCATCTAAATTATATACAGCTTGTCTCAGCAAATACACAATAAATTTCATTTAAAGTTTTCTTCTTTGTATTGGGATGATGTGTTTACATGTTTTTTTATTCCTTTGTTTTTTAATGAATCAGATCTTGTGTATTCTGTCATACAGGAATTTAAAAAGAAGGGAAGTTATCCAATTGCTCACTTTACAGGTGATTACACTGAGTGTGTTTGCATTATGAATCAGCAGAAAGGGAACATTTGCAGGACGTTTGTCAGGAAATATTTCTCCCTGGTCAACAATACTTGCACTGATTGCTGTCTTTATCATACTATGTGTAGCCAATGCTGTGTTTTGGTAGAAATTAAGGGAGGGGCCGTCTATGTGGGTCAGTAATGATTCTAGTCTGATCCTGATTAGATTTGTAATGGAGTCCATCTCTCCTCTACCGCCATGTCTTCTCTATTAAAATTAATAGTTTGACATTTTTGGAAAAACGCTAAACCACTTTCTAGCAGTTTATCTTGTTTCCAGTGTTTATGCTAAGCTAACCTGACTGTCTCCTGGCTTTAGCTGCATTTATAAAATTAAAGTGGTCTCATCTAAAGCAAACAAATTTCCTAAAATGTCAAACTGGTCCTTTAAATATGCTGACAGGCGGACTGTGCCATGCCTTAAAACATTTTTAAAAAATAACTTTTTGTCACATTTGCTGAAACTTAAACTACACTAAACATTCAGGTTCCTCTGGCTCCTCCTGGTGCTCCAAATGGTATTTGCAAGAATCCACCGGGTCTGTAGGAAAACAACCAATCAGAGCCAAGAAAGATAGTTGACTGTTGAGTCTCATGCCCATGACATCAAATATTGAAGCTGGGAATGAGACTCAACGATCAACTATTTTCAAGCCAGCGTCTTTCCATCTTTCTCTGCTCTGATTGGTTGCTTTCGTTCAGTCCCGGTAGGTTCTTGCAAATACCATTAGCAGCACTAGGAAGAGCCAGAGGAACCTGACATTTTCACAGATTAAATGTCTCATGTACTACTGTCAGGATATAGTGAAAGTTTCAGAACATATGACAAAAAGTTATTTTTGTAAAAGCTTAAACTTAGTAGCTGTTCTGGACAAGCCAAACCTCTTAGTGCTCAGTAGCTGTAGAGGTCGGACTTGTTGAATCGATGAAGGATCAGACCAGTTGGTCATGGCTACAGTTCCAGGTTTTGTCCATCAGGTGATGCTGTGAAGTTAGAAATGGACAGAAATGAGGGACCTTACTGTATGTACAGTTAACCACAGTGTGTGTGAGCACTTTTACCTGTTGTTAACTTCTTGTGCCAATAAAGAATGATGTATTTCTAAATGTGTGTGTCTCTGTATGATAGGGGCGGGTGGCTCAGAGGCAAAGCAGGTTGTCCTCTAACCGGAAGGCTGTGGGTTCAATCCCCAGCCCCTGGTGCCACATGTGGAAGTATCCTTGAGCAAGATACTGAACAACCCAAATTGCTGCTGATGCTGTGCATCTGTGTATGAATGAGTTAGTTTCTGTTTGATGGACACCATCACTGAGTGAAAGGGTGAATGTGGTGTAAAAGTGCTTTGAGTGGTCGGAAGACTAGAAAGGATCCATTTACCATATGTCTATGGTACTCAATCTAAATATTTTATTTACTTTATACTTTTATACTACACTACATTTCTGCAGGGAATATAAAATAATACAATTCAATTCAATTCAATTCAATTTAATTTGTATAGCGCCAATTCATAACAGAAGTTATCTCAGGACACTTTCAAATAGAGCAGGTCAGACCGAACCAACATAATACAGAGACCCACAGTACCACCAAGCAAGCACGGCACAAGGCAGGAAAAGCCTGTTAAAAGGCAGAAACAGGACAGACCGGCCAGTGGGTGGCGCTGTCCACCAGTTGGGGGAGAAGAGGCACAGACACAGACAGGTGCACAGCAACAACAGTATGGCAATGGCACAAGCAGACCAGGCAGGAGGCCCACCAGGACGAGAAACCCGACGAAAGCACAGAACCCGGAGAAGTGGAGTAGTAACATGCATTAAAGGAGAAAGTGCAAAGAAGAGAGTAGCTCAGTGCACCATGGAAATCCCCGAAGTCAGGCCTATAGCACAAACTAAGGATGGTTCAGGACTCACCGATCCAGCCCAACTATAAGCTTTACAAAGAGGAATGTCTTAAGCCACCGAAGGGAGGGTGTCGCCCCGAACCACAACGGAACGGTCCAAGGAGAGGAGCTGGTAACGAAGGCCGGCCCGTCTACTTAGAGACTAAGGAACCACAAGTAGCCCAGCATTCAGAAACGTAGTGTCAGTGGGGTAAAGGGACATGAGCCTTAAGAAGAAGGGGCCACCAGAAGAGCTTTAAGGTGAGGAGGAGGATTTTAAATTCAATTCTACATTTATAGGGAGCCAGGCAGAGAGCAGTACAGGAGAGATGGATCTCTTTCAGTTCCTGTCAGTACCGCGCACCTGAATTAATGGAGCGTTTTAATGGACTTATTGGGGCAACCTGATAATAAAGAGTTGCAGTAATCCAGCCTGAGTAACAAATCATGGATTATTTTCGCATCTGTCGGAAGTATGGCTAATTTTCTAATATTACGTAATGAAAGAAGGCAGTCCTAGAGGTCGCTTTATGGGAGTTAAAGACAAATCCGATCAAAGAAACTCCAAGATTCCACAGTGGTCTAAGGCCAAGTTAATGCCATCTAGAGTGACTATATCTTTAGACAATGAGTCTCTAAGGTTTTGGGCCAAGAACAAGAATCTTTTTCGAGTTTAACATCAGAAAATGCAGGTCATCCAGGATTTATGTCCTTAAGACATGTTGTAATTTAGATAATTGATTAATTTCATTGGGTTTGATTGATAGATATAACTGCGTATCATCTGCATAACAGTGAAAGTTAATGGAGTGATCCTAATAATGTTGCCTAAAGGGACATATAAAAGTAAATAGTATGGTCCAAGTACAGAACCTTGAACCCATGACTAACTTAGTATTTATGGAGGATTCATCGTTAACATGTACAAACGAGAACGATCTGATAAGTATGACTTAAACCAGGTTAGGGCAGTTCCTTTAATGCCAATTTGATGCTCAAGTCTCTGTAAAAGAATATCATGGTCAATGGTGTCAAATGCAGCACTAAGATCTAATAATACAAGTACAGAGACAAGTCCATTGTCAGAAGCAGTCAGAAGGTCATTATTAACTTTAACCAGAGCTGTCTCTGTGCTATGATGAACTCTAAATCCTGACTGAAAATCCTCAAATAAACTATTGTTATGTAGAAAGTCACACAACTCTTTGGCGACTACTTTCTCCAGAATCTTAGAGAGGAACGGGAGGTTAGAAATCGGTCTATAGTTGGCTAAAACCCCTGGGTCAAGAGTGGACTTTTAAGAAGGGGTTTAATTACAGCTACTTTAAAGGACTGTGGTACATATCCTGATAATAAAGAAAGATTAATCATATCCAGTAAAGAAGTGCCAATTAAGGGAACAACTTCTTTAAGCAGCCTAGTTGGGATCGGGTCTAACAGACAGGTTGATGGCTCATGAAGAAATGATTGAAGTTAACTGATGAAGATCGATAGCAGAAAAACAGTCTAAATATACATCTAAGTTTACATTGACAGAAGTCCCTGAACTTGGAGAGCCACTGATAACTGTTGATGGCAGTTGGTGATTAATTTTTCTCTAATAGTAATAATTTTATTATAGAAGAAGCTCATGAAGTCATTGCTACTTAAGTTTATGGGGATATGTGGCTCGATAGAGCTGTGACTCTCTGTCAGCCTGGCTACAGTGCGAAGAGGAACCTAGGGTTGTTCTTATTTTCTTCTATTAGTGCTGAGTAATAGGCTCCTCTGGCATTACGGAGGGCCTTTCTATAAATCTTAAGATCATCTTGCCAATTTGAGCGATATTCTGATAATTTGGAAGAGCGCCATTTCCTTTCAGATTTCCTAGCTATTTGCTTTAACTGGCGGGTTTGGTGGTTATACCAAGGTGCTAGTCTCCTATGTTTTAATAATTTCCTTTTATAGGAGCGATAGAGTCTAATGTTGATCGTAGTGAGCCTGTAGCACTATCGACAAGATTATCAATTTCAGAGGGACTAAAGTTGTTATAGGACTCTGTTAAATTCAGACAGTTAGTTACAGCAGTTACAGTGTTTGTAGATTAAGATTTAATTTACATATTATTATAATATATGTACATCATGCCACAGATTAAACTCCCCAACACTATAAAGAGTGCAGTATACAGTACAGTACATGTGTGGCTTTTATTTGTAATTTGTAATTTTCGCTGAGAAAGAAATGATCACATGTTGGTGAAATGGGCACCAACACAGCAAACACTTTATCACCACAAGTCATGAACTTTGAACAGGACTCAACCAGGAGTTGATGGCCCAAGAGGACATGACTTTGCATGTGGGCCAAATCTGGCTCTCCAAAACCAATATTTGTCCTCCTGACGAAAGCTTTGATGTCAGCTTTCCCATTCATGGCTTATACCAAAACCTTTACACCATTCTTCATACATTTCGAACTAACTGCAAGCATGTGCAGGGGCATATCCATTTAGGCTGCCTGGGCTATCTGCCCGAACATAGGCGGGACCTTAGTTGGAAACTAACTGTTTGATGGTTGAACTAAACTTTTCTAAAATGTTTTAAAAGTTTATAAAAGTGTATAACCAGCCAACACAAAATGTCCTGGATGGTTGACAGTTGATATAAAGTTTTGTACAATTTTGTCAGTATAATATTTTGTCCTCACATTTCTGAATGCACATTATTTATTTTGTATATAGCCTGCTTTTGGGGGTACAATTTATTTTTGAGGATTTGAAAGAATAAAGTCTGGAAGCTTTACAGTATGTTAAAATAGTGTGGCCACTCTTTTGTCTTGAGATTGCTAGGACTATTTATCTTTCAATAAAATCATTTTTTGGTGGGGCTTTTATTGCCTTTAATCAGTAGTGACTGGAAGGGGCAGGGGGAGAGAGATTGACATGCAGCAAAAAGCCACAGGTCAGATTTGAACCCATGGCTGCTGCAACTAGGACTCAGGACCCAGGTGAGTTAGATACTGTAACGTCAATAATTTAAGTATATATGAGAATAATGAAAACGAGCCGAGCTGCTGCTAACGTTAGCTCAGCTTGTTTCTCTGATAACTTAAGATCCAGACGTCCGATGACTAAAATCCTTCATCCGGTTCAAATCTAGAGTTAAACAGCACCAAGATCTAAACAGTGGATGGTAACAATGTGGCTTCAGACTGGATAAACAGTCAATGTATGACAGCTTCTGGCAGACAACCACAACACTGACGCAGGCACAAAGGGGATATGACGCCATTGACAGGCGACCGGTGAAACACAGCGTTACCTGAATAAAATGACAGATTTCTCTGAGTTTGAACCATACAGTATATAAAGATGGATGACATGACAGCTCTTCAAAAGTGAAGCGAAAACATCTCTATCGCCCTGCTAAGCCCTTCTCACAATCAGTCAGCTGCATGTATGAGCAGGACTTCCATTCTGCATCACCAGTGCAAGATGGCAGCGGCCGTATCCGGGATATTTTGGCTTAATTTTTGTGCAGGGGGAGGAAGTGGAGACACAACGTCCATCTTTATGTTGATGGTTTCAACATTGTTGGAAACATTTGGGATAATCTAAGTACACAGTTCAACAACATACAGAACATAGCTCTAGTGTTTATAGAGATTTTAATGTGGAAATGTTACATATTATAGCTTTAATGCTATTTACTTTATGCCACCCCTCTATAAGTTAGTGCCCCCCACTTTACTGTAAAACCCAACAAGTTATTTCAACTCAAACTGTTTGAGGAAACTGATCGCGTTAAACGTTTAAGTTTATTAACTGAAACAATTTAAGCATGAAAAAATATTTGATTAGAGTAGAAGTAACTTTGTATTATTGCTAAGGTAGATATGGTATTTAGGTTAATTGTACCAAACCAATTCAGTTAATTAAATTACACTCATATGCAGCATTTCTCCAAACTTATTTAAAATGTGTGAACAGAATTTATCTGAATAGAGTAACTTAAATGCATCTTTGTACAAAGTTTCATTTTCCTTCCATTAAAGCAAATTATTAAATGTCAGACAGCTCACTAACAATACAAAAATATATGATTAATTGATTATCAAAATGCTAGTCAATACATTTTCAGTTTTTTATGTGACCAACATCAAATTTTTTACACTTTGGGTTATCACTAAGAATTATACATTGTTTATATATTATTACAATGATATATAATCATTAATAATGATAAGAAGTCTACTTCAAGAAAATGAGTCAATGGGACAAACTTGAATATTGCCTGTACACAAAATACAATTCAATATATATTGCAATGTTTAAGTGCACTCAAACAAGTGAGCTGCTTCAACAATTCATTTTTGAGTTGGGTTTAATTCATATGACGGAGAGACTTTTGAGGATTAAGTTATGTTAATTTACTTCTCTCATTAGGATGTGTTGTGAGGTTTTACTGTATTGGGCCACCCCAATCAAAAAAAGTCTGGATACGCCACTGGTCATGTGACAGCTGCCTGAATCCAGGCTGTCACTCATTCTAAGTGATTCTGGATTAAAAAGAAGTATTTTGGATGATTATAAGGAAAATGTGCGACATTAGAACACAATATCAGCTCACATGAGTCTTATAAATACTGCTTTGTGCGCAGATTTTGGCAGACATGGAAGTGAAAAGAATTGGCCAGCACTCGGCCAATCCTGATCCCCCTCTCCGAGCAGCTGATGCGGTGGCTAAGAGGAACTATGCAGCCGGAGACGTGTTGCAGCGACACCCACATCCAGAGAGCTGTTGCAAAACTTCCGACCCGCAGCCTTGGAACAGCACGTTAAGACGTTTTAAAAAGGGGAAGACGTCCGTTCGAGGAGTGATAGCTTATAGGACTGATTGCGACCATGGCAGGTAAACAAAAGACGCTTTGTGAATATGTTATTTCATTATCTTGGTGAGGAAAGTGCATAATAAGATCCATGTTGTTTGTCCAGAGTGATGAAATCCAGATGTTGTGTTCTGTTTGAGATACATCCTGATTTCCGCTGCACATGCAATGCAAGCACTTCTCTTTTCTGTGGAAGGCCTGCAGCTGCCCAGTGCCGATCTAAAATGCATGAATTTAAAGCTGCAGTATGTAACTTTTAGAAACATTATTTATTTGGTCAAACTTTCACTATATCCTGACAGTAGTACATGAGATTATCTGTGAATAACAGGTTACTCTGACTCCTCCTAGTACTCCTAATGACATTTGCAAGAATCCACCGGGCCTACACTAAAACAACCAATCAGAGCCAAGGAAGATATAAAGACACTTTCCCTTAAATTTCACCTAGCACAGCTTTATAACGTTGTGTCTGCGTCGTGGTTTGGCTCTGTGATCCATGATCCGGGTTTTAGTGAAAGTTTCAGCAAACACGACAAAAATGTTTTTTTTTATAAAAATGACCTACTGCAGCTTTACGGGCAGAGTTTGCTTGTTGCAGATGAAGCAGTAGTTCTGGAGGAAGGCAGCAGTGCAGCTCAGAGCCCTCTGGTCGCAGTCACCTTCCAGAGAAACGTCAACAGGAAACAGAAGTACCTGGAGGCTGAACCCAAAGCTCTGGGGGTACAGTGTGTGTCTCTGTGTGTGTGTGTGTTTAAAACTATACCCTCCTGGAGTTTTGTTTGTAACATACAGTATTCTCTCTGCTGTTCCAGATCACTCAGATTGGCCTGAGTGCCTTTCAGATTATCTCTGTGAGTTTGTTTCTGGCTCAAGACCTGAAACCTTGGGATGTATCTTTCTTCATTTCATCTCTACTGGTAAGCACATGGACAATTCAAATAATATACAAATAATATATAATATCATCTCAGACCAAAACAATGGGTGCTACAACCGACCAGACTCCATTGTCAAAACCAGTCATTTTTCCTAGCAGATAAGCTAGATAAGGTTCAAACTGGACAAAAACAAAATACAATTTACCAGAAACATCTTTTTTAATTTACCCAGATCTGGTTTGGTCAAAATAAAATCCTTAATTCACAGAGTAAAATGAGTAAATAGGTGTAAAGTGGGCTGCTATGGCTCCCATGTAACGTTAGCTAATCCTGGGGGACAAATGTGCCAGTCAAAATCCGTCCAATACAAGTTGTTGTTATTGCCACTGAAAGAATCAGACAATATTATGGAAAGGATCAGTATAGAGAAGTGCTGTATATTGGTGAAATTCCAAACTAAGTCCTGATGCCCTTTTCACAGGTGGTGATAGCTGGGAGTGTGGCTGTAGCGGCGCAGAACCTCCACCTGCCAACGGTGAGTTACCGGGCTGGAGGGGAGACGCCCAAATGATCACCAGTAATACATAAGCAATGTATCATAACAACTACCATATACAGATCCAGGCCGACTGCCTCCAGAGCAGCACACAGAAAGTAACAGATGCTACTTCCTCTGTGAGTCATTGCTGGGTGAGGCTGAAAGGAGCTGGTTGTTACACTGACCCTGGCATATGTTGCTCCTTTAACTGATAGCTAAGAAGGGTAGAGAGTAGGCAGACTGGAACCATTTAGGCAGGACCATTTAGTTGAGGAACACTTCATGATTTCATGAGCTGCCGGTGTGAGCAATGCTGGGCTGCAGACACAAAAATAATCCCATGACCCACAGGATTCCTGAAAAAAGTCAGCGTCTAATGTTTGTGGAATAGCAAATTTTGGATTCTAGTTTCATTTGCAGAAATGTACAGTATGGGTGCCCTGCAGTTAGAAACTGCCATATTCTAACTTGCATATGTTGCAATAAGCATACTCCCGGTGGGCCGATTTTGATAAATGTTAAGTAGATTTTGACCTTATTTTTATGCAGAAATACAGCAGGAAAGGCGAAGGTCAGTGATTAAAAATGCTGACAGAAAAACGTCACCAGAACTGACGAAATGTGAAGAAACCACTGACACTGAACTTTATTGATTCCAGGTCCAAAAGATTGTACATATAAATAACCTCAAAATGAATCAAAATCAGCCCACCGGGAGTTGAAATGTGGCCACTTCTGGTTTAAATGTCCATTTTGTATTTCAGTAACACGCAAAACCCCTCTTATATTGTCCAAATTGGCTGAGCAGTTGCTAAAATATTGTCTGTATAAGTGATTATGCTTATTAATGTTTTGCATGTTATTAATGCAAATTGCCCAACATATGCAAATTTGCATCTGATGGTTTCTAAATGCCACGCTGTACATCTCTAACACAAAACTCTTTTACTTATCATTTCCAGGTTCACAATAGGGCTCTATTTGCTGACAAATAGTCTATTTGTAGGTTTTTATTTTAGGATTTAAATGTAAAATGACTAAAGCTGTATGTGCTGTTTTTTCCGGTGTCTCTCAGCTGAGGGCCTGTTTGGGGATGCAGATTGTGTCCTGTGGCGCCTCCATCTTCAACATTATCTCTGTTCTGATTAAAATGGGGGATTCACCATCTTTCTGCTGGCATTTTTATGATGAGCACGCTTCGTCACGTAATGGCGAAATCTGCCATAAAGCTGAGGTAAGTTATGTTTGTCCCTAAGAAGAGCACTATTGTCCTGTTTTAGAGTTGGATAAGGTAAATAATGAAATTGCATTGTTGTCAAGTTCTAAGTTATAACCCATCAACAAAAACAATTGTATATATTTCACATCATACATCTCACATTTGGAATTTTAAATGTTTTACTCAGAAATGGTGGCCAATAGTAGAGAAATCTACAGTTAAATACCCTGGATGTATATTGGATAGCCATTTATCTGGAGAGAACATGGGTTGAAGGTTAACTAGAATATGTTTTTTAGCTCAATATTTTGGGACTTTGTATTGGCTGGAACCTTCCCTAAGTACTGCCCCTTTTTGTTATGTGCTCCAATGACAATTGAGCAAGCCTCGGTTAGAATCTCGGTCAACCTTTCTCCTTTCCTGTACTGAGATATGCTAGGCACTAGGCTTGTCCATGTTGAAACCAAAGTTTAAGATGGTTAAAAGAGAAAAGCAAAATATATATAGTCACATCTTATGTTAGCAAAATGCTAACTAACTAGCTGGCTAATCTACAGTAATTGTTACCTAGCTAGTTACATCTAAAAGCACTGATGTGCTAGGCTCATCTATATTGAAAAGACAACCGCATTTTGAAGAAGACAAAAGCAACATTACATCTTAAGTTAGCAAAACACTAGCTAGCTAACAATTTATGTAAATTTGCTAGCTAGATATCTTGCATTTTGCTAACATTAGCTAGTTAACTTAAGGCCTATGTGGCTTTTATCTTATCTTTTATTGTGAAATAAAATTAGAACTACAAAAACAAGATCCAAATTGTAAACAAGACTTAATTATTCTATAATTTCTTACAGTTTACCTTTCAAATTTGATACATTCTGAAATGTCGATGAAAGCAGCTGAACCCTCATTTAAAGCGTACAAGACAAAAGCAGTTGAAGTGTGAGTTGAAGAGTAAAGAATGAAAGTATTTGTATTCTATTGCCATGTAAAAGTTAGTTAAACTTTATGCAATAGAAGTACTAATTTAAGTTGAAGTGTAATCTTATACACTGAAAACGTATATAATACATTATAAAGCTGTGTATTGCCAAGAATCTGGCAGTACAATACATATCATGAGACGGGGTTACGATTTCATATATTGCGATATATCGCAATACTGGAAGCAAGGCAGTATATTGCAACTTTTTTTAAAACCAATTTTGTATTTATCTTTATTATTATTATTACTGTTTTCAATTTCTGCGTGTCATTGTTCCCACTTACAGAACACCCACACCCACTTCTTTGCTGAGAATACGGTCATTCAGGTTGCTCTGTTGGCCATCTCCGCCACTCTGGCCGCCTACTGCTGCAAGGTGGTCAACTGCTGCGCGCCGGCTCCCAAAATGGTGAGTAAACACTGACTATAACTGTGTAGTGTGTAGTATAACAGCTGCATAGATTTTTTAGTTGTGTCACAAATCTGGACTGATGTATCAGTCGGCCAATTTATCAGTCAATACTGCAGACATATCAAAATATTTTTTTCCACTATGTAATGCAGAAAAAACAAATATACTTGTGTCACTGCCCAGTTTATTCATCAGAGTGCGCTTTGATTTACAGTACTGTGGCAAGCAGCACAGAGTAATGGTACGTGTCCACAGGGGTGTTTTTAGACATGAGGGGTCACAGCATTGGTCGCTTGTAGTCACAAAAGGCTGGATCCCTGCTTGGAAACTTTCTCCCATATTGTGAAAATAGTTCACCCAAATGGCTTTCTAAAAACCAACGGTTAGTCTGAGCGCTTTCCGTGAGTTTCCAGAGTTGGCTAGTCACGCGGCCGAATGCCCCGGATGTGTATAATGTAGCTTGAACTGCAACGTTATGCAAATGAGTGGCCAATGTGACACCCAAGCTTGAAATGCACTGCGGCGCTGCCAGCATTGCAGGGCCTCTCACATAGACAGTGCCAGGAAAGCACTGAAACCTGTGGACACGTACCGTAAGAGGAAAGAAGCAGTTTTCAGAACTAGTATTGGTTGACAATGCATGCTTCAACTAATTAACATGTTAAAGAATATTTAAGATAAGTTATTTGTTTATGAAAGCAGCATTGTGGGTATATTGGTCATATCCGTCCACAATCCACATAGAAAAGGTCTGTTTTCACTCCAGCGCAAACATTCACTATATTAGCTGCCATATATTTGTGAATTTTTCCCTTCTAAATCCTTATCGTTCTCAAATATCCCACATCGGTCAGGGTCTATTAGCAGTCAGTCTTTTAATGGCCTAAATCTGTTCTTTTGCTTGTTTTCTGTCCCACTCAGCCGGTGATCACTGTACATGCCCCCCCTGTCCAACCATGAGGAAACACAGTGGACGGATGCAGAAGACAGGCGTACAGCCACATACAAATGCTACGTATATTTTAAGCTGGACTAATCAATAATTGTATTTTGACAAATATGAAATGTGAAAGGGGATAATGGTAAAAGAGTTCAACTCAACAGAGTTTTTTTTGCCTCTTTTAGCTCATTGTTTTGGTTCTCCAGCCTACAAACTCCATTACATATTAAGTTAGCTAATGTTGGCTAGCTAGTCCTCATACTGTGTCCTCACACTTTGCATGTTATCACATATTTTTTTATTAACAGATACGCAACAGTTCCCACCATGAGTCTCAACTGTATAGAGATGACAAAATTCATTTTAATTCTTTTTTGCTGTTCCTTCATGAATACTACCTAAATAATGCTTTACTGTTTGTCACTGCAGCTAACAGCTATGGATAATAAAGAGCTAACAGATTTGAAGAAGCTTTTTGATATTTTCTTTGTGAAAGAGTTTTTAGAGGATGCTGGACTGTCACACATACCTTACAAGGGTATGTACCTTCTCTCCATATACTGGTCCACTATGACCATTTGTGTATTTGCACTGTGTCATAATAACACATTGAAAAATAACAACAACCATCAATGTAGACAGTATTTGCTGAAAATGTCAGTTTCATTGATAAATAAAATAAGAAAATGTTGTAAAAATTCATAGGCTTTTTTGGTGGCTAGTAAATCCCCAAACTGTCCACACACAGTTGGGCTTTCCAAACTATCTGCAAACAAGTTTACTGAAAGGGAAGAATATATTAATATTATAGGGGCAAAGGCCCTTTAACTATAAATGTATTGTAGAGTGCAATTCAATGTAATTTTTATTTGTAGGACAACAAATAAAGAAACCGCTCTAGGTGGGTGGCTGTCTGCCTCAACCAGTTGGGGTTAGAGAGAGAGAGATGCACAGCAACAACAGTAGCAACAACTATACTAGTAGAAATGACTGGTGATGATGATAATGATGATGATGATGAAGATGAAGATGATGAAGATGATGACGCCAACAACAGCGATGAACAATAATAATACTAATAATAACATTAATATCAGTGATATTAGCAATAGTAGTCAAGCAGGACCATGGCAGGAGGCTCCACCAGGATCCATGAGAACCTGCGAGACGAGAAAGCACAAGAACTCCGGGGAAGAAGTGGAGTTAGTAACATGCATTAATGGGACATGAATGAGTGCAGAAAGAGAGAGAGAGGAAGAGAGGAGCTCAGTGCACCATGGGAAATCCCCCGATAGTCTAGGCCTATAGCAGCATAACTAAGGGATGGTTCAGGACTCACCTGATCCAGCCCTAACTATAAGCTTTATCAAAGAGGAATGTCTTAAGCCTACTCTTGAATGTGGAGAGGGTGTCTGCCTCCCGAACCACAACTGGAAGCTGGTTCCACAGGAGAGGAGCTTGGTAACTGAAGGCTCTGGCTCCTGTTCTACTTTTAGAGACTATAGGAACCACAAGTAGCCCAGCATTCAGAGAACATAGTGTTCTAGAGGGGTAATAGGGTACTATGAGCTCTTTAAGATATGAAGGGGTCTGACCATGAAGAGCTTTATAGGTGAGGAGGAGGATTTTAAATTCTATTCTACATTTTACAGGGAGCCAGTGCAGAGAAGCTAGTACAGGAGAGATGTTATAAGGAGTTCGGTCTAGACCTGCTCTATTTGAAAAGTGTCCTGAGATAACTTCTGTTATGAATTGGCGCTATACAAATAAAATTGAATTGAATTGAATCTCTCTTCCTGTTCCTGTCAGTACTCGTGCTGCAGCGTTTTGAATTAATTGGAGCATCTTAATGGACTTATTGGGGCAGCCTGACAATAAAGAGTTGCAGTAATTGTTGTTCTTATTTTCTTCTATTAGTGCTGAGTAATAGGCTCCTCTGGCATTACGGAGGGCCTTTCTACAGGTTTTAAGATTATCTTGCCAAATTGAGCGATATTCTAATAATTTGGAAGAGCGCCATTTCCTTTCAGATTTTCACGTTTTTTGCTTTAATTGGTGGGTTTGGTGGTTGTACCACGGTGCTAATCTCATGTTTTAATATTTTCCTCTTTATAGGAGCGATAGTCTAATGTTTGCAGTGAGCTTGCAGCACTATTAACAAGATGATCAATTTGGGAGGGACTAAAGTCGTTATAGGACTCTGTTATATTCAGACATGGCATTGAATTAAAAACTGAAGGAATCTCCTCCTTAAATTTAACTTCAATCAGATAGACATCACCTAAACACAGGTGTTACAATGACATTAATCAAGGTTCTATTCCATTTGGTGTAGCATGCACAATAGCAGCACCCTGACTGTTTGAGCTTAACCTTAATTGGTAACACGTGTTTACCCTACTATTTCATGTTAAAATGGCTGCTGTGAAAAAGGTCTGGAATGTATTAATAAATCATATAAATATATCACTATCAATAGTGCTTCTCCTGCCTACCACATGTGTATTTACAATATGTGTGTAATCAGCTTGCTTGGTTCAGGTGTCACTACTGTGTTACTGTGACAGGAAATGATGCTTCATGTACAGTACAAAACAATTTTATTTGTCACACAATGCATTAAAACATGTTTTTTTCCCCCATAAATATGTAATACATTAAACACATACACTTACTTAGATGCTTCATGATCAGAATTATAAAAATGGACAGATTTTAAGAGTTTACTGTACATTTGTTGAATTTAGAAGGCATATTTCATCACACATAATCCACACAATTCTCTCTGACAGCGATATGAGGCACCAAACTTCATTAAGTTCATTTTTGCTGGCTCCACTCCCTCATATCTGCAGCTCATCTGCCCAGTGGCTCTGTGTGAGATCAAGGGAGAATTTATCAAGCAAAAGCTACATTCATTAGACATAGATCAATTCTGAAAATAAATATTTTTGCTGCAGTTTTAAGATAATAAGTTGGATGTAATTTGCTTTGGTTTGGATTCCTTTCCAGCCTTTTTGATTCACACTATGTACAGGACAGGACAGGACAGGTCATAGTGGGTAAGACTAAGCATTAAGCAGACATATTTGTATATATTCTATAGCCTAACTCATTTAAGTCAGCAGTAACTTACTTGTGATGCAGACAGTGTGATCTCCTCCAGGTCTCCGAAGCAGCCGTGTTTATGGCGGATGAGGCTCCCCCACAGCAAGGAGCGACGGCAGGCCGGACATTCGCCCTCCACTGGCAGGAGGTGGGATGGCTCGGACTTCAGGAAATGTTTGGCGAGGCAGGCCACGTGACTATTCATCCCACAGGACGGGTGGAAACAGCTCAGCTTTTCTGACACCTGAGGAAAAGAAGAGACATGGATTCAGTTCATCTCAATGCCTGCTAACTAACTAACCACCAAGTTTGTAGTGATTAGGGTCTGACTGTACTGAAATTACTACAGGCTAGTCTAGATTGATTCCTGTGAATATTGATCAGAGAAGAGTTTTGGATATATTTTAGGAACCTTTTATACAATTATAGGTCTGGACTTAAATTTTTAACAATCATACATGTGCATACAGGTGTTTTCTTCTCCCTGACGCTTGGCCATTGTTAGCTCTAAAGCAGGACGAGGCTGTTTATCAGGGTGAAGAATATATTTAGGGTTTGGGTTCAGATCTTTTTTGCAGAAATTACCAAAATGCTGAGATATGTTCCTACTGTGTCTTTTAAAAGTTTTCTTACACTAACCTGGAGGTTGGGAACCACTGGGCTTGTTGAGTAGTACCTGTTCCTAAAATGTTGAACTACTGCTTTAATAAAAAGCACAATATCACCAAATCTTTACCCAGAACAGGACAAAATCCTCACTGATATCTAAAGAGACTCTACCTTGACCAGCAGTTTACAGAGGCAACACCTGGACGTCTCCTCCTCTTCCTCCTCCTCCTCTCCTGCAGACTGCAGTGGCAGCTTCTTCTTGGCTCTCACGCTCCCAAAAGCAATGGGGATGTGCAGTGGAGGCTGCAGACTGGGCTCGAAGTCCATCCTGTACTCCTGCTTAAGCCAGCGGGCTGTGAGCGGCAGCCTGTTCCACGGTGCCACCCGCAGCATGTTGGAGACGACCCGCCAGTGGAACTGCAGGCTCGACTCTTTCCTGGAGCGCCGAGAGACGTGGGAGAGACGCCTGGAGGAGTGAGGGTGCTGCCACGCCCACTCAAACTGACAAAAACAATAATGATAGTTAGAATTATTCTTAGTTTAAAACTGTAACTTTTATAATAATAGCTTTTGTAAAAGAGGGGTTGAAACAGGAGATAAGATTAATACATCAGTTTGAGTGGCTTGATAAAGTTTTTCTTTGGCACATAACTAAACTCAGAATCTAACCTTGGACCTACAGTCCCTTTGTCCATTCCTGTCTATGTTTCCACTGCATCTGAAGATCAGGTAAACTGAACTGAGAAAACAACAGCGTTTGAGAAGCAATTTACACACATGAAAAAACAAAAACACAGAGTCATTGTGTTCTGGATGTGATGGATGGATACAAAGGAGACTCCAGAATGTCTGTTTGTATAAAAATAAAATAAAAATACTCAGTCTGCCGAGTATTTTTAGTAGTGTTTTTTTAATGAAACAATCAGCTTCTCACATTCACTTGGCCAGTAATTCTCTCTTTATTTATCTCTCTTTGCACAAAAGCCAACTGTGGCATTTAGTCGACCTGTGTGAATGATGCTGTATGAGTTGTAGCAGCTGCAAGGTCTGTGTTTGACCAGTGAGCAACATTTGGCTCTTCAGACTCTGCCCTGATAGTTCTGGGGCCATCGGAAAATACTACACAGAGACTTTTTTGGGGTTAGGAACCATCTCTGAGGTGAACTCGAAACACAGGTAACGTTCCCGAGCTCCAAAAATAGGAAACGGGTTTTAAAGGTCCAGTGTGTAACAGTTAGGAGGATCTATTGTCAGAAATGGAATATAATATTCATAGGTATGTTTTCATTAGTGTATAATCATCTGAAAATAAGAATCACTGTGTTTTTGCTACCTTAGAATGAGCTGTTTCTATCTACAGAGGGAGTGGGTCACCTTCCATTGAGGCAGCCATGTTTCTAGAGTAGCCCAGAAGGGACATACCAAAGACTGGCACTAGATTGGGGTGTTTTTCCTGAGCGTTTCGCAGCCACTGTAGTTTCTCCTTCGTGCCTGGAAGGGGAGGGTGAAGCAAGGGAGTTGCGATCTGCAATTACACCACTAGATGCCACTAAATCCTACACACAACTTCAGGTAAATACTGATGTTTTGGATGGAATACAGTCACATTCCACCACTTCGGTACATAGGCAGAGGCATCGTCTTTCACAGTATACCATGGTATGAGAATTGGTTATCACACTGTGCTCATTTGCTTATCTACAGTATTGAATTCAACCATGTAAGTGTTATTAAAAAAATAGGACATAATATTTTGTGAAATTATAATAGCGCTGTACTATCAAATAAAAACCTTGTGTTTTCATTCTTTTAAGGGTCACTGGAACTGATTATAATAATAATTTTGTGACACTGTGATATTTTTTCTGATGGCTGTAAAACTACTACATAATATTATCCATTCGCTCCAAAAACCATACCTACCCTCAGGGCAGCAATGTCAGAGGGAAATCCATGTACGATGAGAACCATCTCCCTGAACAAAACAAAGAATAAATGCAGAATATCTCTAATGATGTGATCACACAGTGTCCATCATGATCTATAGTGCAGTAAAGGTTAGTCGTACCATGGTCCTCTTCCGCTGGTCCTCTTGGCTCCCCCTCGGTGCCGTCCTGCGTTGTGCTGTCCGATCCTGCGCTCAGGGTTCACAGTGAAGCCGATGTAAATACGGCCTTTGAATTTCGGGTTGGTGCAGTACAGCATGTACACACCAAAGAAGCTTTCTACCTCCACAACCATTGTGGAAGAACAGAACTGTTAGGACGCTTCGTGATTCACCTTTTACATCAGATAGAGTTAGCTAATGAAGCATAACGTTAGCTAGCTGACTAATGTAACGTCACAACGTAGCAGAAAGACGAAAGGTAAAATGACTGGAAAATATAAACCAATTCAATATTCTTAAGACTGCCATTGTCACGGCAATATTACGTGTAATATTTCATCCAAGACAGACGCTTCGTACAGTTCCACACACAGTTAGCACAGTTAGCACAGTTAGCACACATTCAACAGTAACTGTATGTTTATGTTTGCATGTACCGGTGTCCGTTTCAGTAGCCTACAAAACTGCCTGATAAAATGTGTTTCAAAAGGACTCAAAGTGTTTCCATGTGAGTCTAATTTAAAAAGCCTACATTATAGATAAGAAGTAACGAATACCGCCATATCTTAAAAAGATTAAACTCAAATCGCATATTTTCCTTTATATTAATCACTATCAACATTAGGTTCGGCTTTCTGTAAGGACCCCTGATATTATGATTCGCTACTTTAAAAAAGTATGTCCCACCCATAAAGCGTACATACCGCATTTGATTGGCCGTGGCTGATTGGCCGTGGCTGATTGGTTAGTTATGAGGCGGTGACGACAACCCCTCCACGGTGGGCTACAGAAATGAGCGAAAACACCATCAAATAAACAACCTTTGGTAATGATAAACAAATGAATGAAAACTCCACAACTGTGCTGCAACAGGGTTTTTAAGATATATAGAATTATTCAACTTAAAGAATACTGCATTACTTCCGGGGTCACTGAGCATGCCCTCTCATTGAAGAGACTCAACTGGAACTCGTTCAATGAGCCAGTGTGTCAGTGGAACAGTTGGTGTACTATCGTCTGTGCTTCCTTCACTCAGATATGGCTATAACAGCTGATCACATCCGGGATAAACTTGTTAAGGAGCTGCCGGCAGTGCACGTGGTAGGTATCTGGCTGTTATTTGTATCACGTGTTCATGTCCTCTTAGCCTAAAGCTAGAGGAAGAGATAGGTTCAAGTCCTGTTTAGAGTGGGTACGGGCTGTTTCATTGAGTGTCGGCTATGCGCGCCAGTTAACATGATATTATGGCCGACAAAGAAGGCACCACTAAATTGAATGATTTTTGACTGGAGTTTGGTTCAGCTACACCTTAACGCTGCTCAGTGGGCCCCCGAGCTAACTGTGGTCTTGCTGCTTTAGAGTAGTCGTTCTCAACTATTTATTTTGTTGTCACTAGACTACAACATGACTATAGGTGAGTCCAGTGAGAGAACGTATACTAACACTCTTCACAGTCACTTAAAGTACACAAAATGAGCCAGATAGCAAGATAGAGCACATCATAATGCATACAGTCATTCAGTATCAGCAGCATGAGAATGAGCTGTCTGTCTGTCTCCTCCAGGATGTGGAGGATACATCACCCAACAGATGTGCTGCCAGCTTCAAAGTCCTGGTGGTGTCGTCCCAGTTTGAGGGCAAACCGCTGTTACAGAGACACAGGTATTACACACTGTGGTAACTATCAGATAATATATGTTTGCAGGGTGGTTTGTATTCAGGTCTGGATCAGTTTAGGTCAAGAGACAAGTAGATCCATGCCATACAGACACAGGGGTCCCAGGCATTCTGGAAAACCTGAATATTTACAGATTTGCTTTTCTGGTCAACACTTGGAAGTTTATTAAAACAACCAAATGTTCTGGAAATGATCTGTGTTGTCCTGGGAATATTTAATTGTACTTTAGCCCATTTAGCTCACATTGCCTATGTAAACCTACAGTAGGTTTGGGGAAAACTGTAGTAAACTGTAGTCAAGTCTCCAGAGACGCTACAGAACAATCGTCTGTGGCAAGAACTATGGAAAGCGAGCTAACTCGTAAAGTCTGGGCACCTATGCGTAACGAACTTCCTCACTTCATCACAAACCCTGCTTCATTATAAAAGGAGGCATAAAACTAGGGAAAACGTGTCAATATTAGGCCTACCAGTAAATGATATGACAGTTTGTGAGCAAGTGCTGGAAAGGTCCTGGAAAATAATTTCTTAAAAAGAGTGGGAACCCTAAGTAGATAAAAGTTAGTAGGTAATGATCAAACACAACATTTTATTAACAGCATTTTGTATTATATAGTTTATTATGATATTGATTGATTGATGATATTTTATGACAGCGATTCTACATGATATCACAATATCTGTGTAGATCCATAAAAAAACAACTCCATTATAGCAGGATATTATGAAATATATCCGATACATAAAGAAACATATCATACACACATTATTGTTCCAATCAGACTGTTCGGAAATATGTCTGAATACATGTCTGGAGGGGATCTTTAACATATTTGTAAATTGAATAAGAGAATTGTCTCACACATGGGTCAGGTGAGCGTTGGTGACTTTTGCGAAAAAGCCAAAGTGGGTCATTCTTTCTAGCCTGTAAGTGTTGTGTTTCAACAGGATGGTGAATACGTGCCTGGCCGAGGAGCTGAAAGAGATCCACGCTTTTGAACAGAAGACCCTAACACCAGAACAGTGGGAGAAACAAAAATCACAATGACACACACACCCACACACAAACACATACACATACATTTCCACTATAAAACAGACCATACACTTCTGTGATATGTAGAAAGAGTACAAGTGCTCTCCTTCATTTTCTGTAAATCATCGTATTGATATAAATGCAGTGGATCGCTCTCAAGGCAATAAAACACTTGGATGCTGTATTTTGTTGTTGTTGGTTATTTCCTGTAGGTCTTTTAATTTGAGAGCACAGAAATTCACAGAATTGAATCCCTTCTCAAGGTTATATACGTTTAGGTTGTAGAAAGAAATTTAGATATAGTTACCTTTGTGCTGCTAAAAAGCAAAATAAATATTACATATTAGATACATATTATATAACTGAGCAGAATGATAATGAGGTTTTGATAAGGATACCAAATAGTCTTGGTGGAATGGAAGCCAGCAGGCAAGAATCGATGGGCCGTTTTTTTATTGTAATAGAAATAATAGGTACATTATCTGAACCTGCAGTAGCAGTGCTGGTTCTTTCTATGATACTTTTGTATTCTACCATACTAAGACTTTGAACTCAGGTTTTGATGAACCCATATGTTTTCTTTTTGTCTTTTTATACTGAAGAAATTATATTTAATTGAAAATGTATTCTTACATGAAGTTCAAAGTTCATTCTTGACTCAGGAAACAGCAGTTGCGAGAGCTCTCTCTCCACAAGGTGCATTAATACTAAATGTACACTGGAGAGGCAACCTGGTCTCTTAAAGTCAAGACAGACGACCACCCACCTAGACCTGAAGGATCTGTCCTAGGTTTCTGCCTTTTAACAGGCAGTGTTTCCTTGCCCTTGTCGCCAAGTGCTTGCTCATGGTGGTACTGTTGGGTCTCTGTAAATAATGTTATAAAGAGTTCGGTCTAGACCTGCTCTATTTGAAAAGTGTCCTGAGATAACTTCTGTTATGAATTGGCACTATACAAATAAAATTGAATTGAATTGAATTGAATTGAATTAAAGTTGTAGTAGGTACCTTTTATAAAACTAAGTTTTCTGTCATATTCTCTGACACTTCCACTATCCTGACAGTAGAACATGAGACAGATAATCTGTGAAAAAATCAAGTTCCTCAGAGCCAAGAAAGATATAAAGTCCCTTTGGTTTGGAAGCTTGAAGATCTCAGAGTCTCATTCCCAGGGTCCCAAAGAGTCTTAGACTCAACAATCAACTACACTATATCTTGGCTCTGATTGGTTGGTTTCATTCAGGTCCGGTGGATTCTTGCAAACACCATTAGGAGCACTAGGAGGGGCCAGAGGGACCTGAAGTCTAATCAAATATGACAAAAACACTACTATCATCAGTACTATTACCACTTGCAACTACAAGTTCTTTGCACCTTATCTACCTATTTATCTTTTTTATCTTTTCTACCTCAAGTATTTTATTGTTGTATCTTATTTTATTATTGTATTTTATTCTATTGTATTTTTATTGTATTTAAATGTACCTGGCAGCTATGACGACCCAATTTCCCTTCGGGGATTAATAAAGTCTATCTATCTATCTATCTATCTATCTATCTATCTATCTATCTATCTATCTATCTATCTATCTATCTATCTATCTATGTAGGTCTATCTGAGATCCATTTAACAGCCTCTAACAGCAGACGAACAGCTCTGTAATAAGGCAAACAACGTGAAGAATGGGCACTGAATACAAATTAGATGAATACATTTATAATACAAACCATCAGTGTAGAGCACAGCTCTGGTGCACATGTATGCATACTGTGTGTGTGCTGAAGGGTAGTGAAGCCTCACACAAAGCACTGAGGTCTCCATGAGGTGTCACTAAGAGCCGGCGGACCCCCTGCCTGTGTGGTTCTCAGGGTGACACATTACAGCTGTGTGCTTTGATCAGTCAATCTGTGGCTTTTTTTAGGGTTCTGCCCATTTCACAAACACACCTCAGCCACCTGAGCCTGTACGTCTACACACACTATACACACTGCTACACAATCTTTTGTCCAATCCAATGTACAACAGATATATAAATATATATACCAGTACATTATTTAACTCTATCATATTTATTTCATTTAAATAGTCAGCTTCTTCCCTCCTGCAGTCTCAGGCTGTGTGCTTAATTCATTGTTTTCAGTCATTTTCTTTTTAATCAGATTGACTGTATATAATTGTTTTACGAGTAGCAATGAACAGAACTACATCCTGAATCCTTGACAAACACATACAGTACTGTAACACACTCTTGCCCTGCACTCTGTCGGCTGTCTGTTGAGTGCTAATCTGGGATGTTGATGGAGCAGGTCCCTGTAAAGATGTGGGCACAACAGTCTATCATTTACTGTTCTTTGGCCGTTTCATCCAGACTGGAAATTTGCCAGGAGTAGCCTTAAGTCTAAGTGGGCTCCTATCCGCTTCTCTACCTCTCCTCTTGGGATTACAGCTCCTACAGTGGTTGGCTGCTCCTGCAGAGTAAGATCGGTGGATCGTCTTAAAGTCCACTGTTATTTAATTTGAACCCAAGGCTTCCTTTTGTAATGGCTATTTTTGTCATAGGTAACATGTTTCAGCCGAAAGGCAAAAAATTAAAACAAGATTAAAACAAAACAGAGGGGTTTGAACGAGCTAGCCTTCGGTTAACAGCATCTGAGCTTGCAGTCGTTGCCATAGTCAGAATCTGATACAGTCAATTTGAACAATTTTGGCTTTAAAATCAAATCCAGTCAGACATCATTCAATGATGTTTCAGCAATAAAGCTAGAAAAAAAATTAAAACAAATAGTAGAACATTTTAAAGAGCTACCAGCAGCTGTTGTCATGCACACAATTCTATAAACATGTTGCATGTTTTTTAAATGACAGTATCTTCCATTCAAAGGTCAGTGAAAACATACTGGACATGGATGTGTGTGTGTGTGTGTGTGTGTGTGTGTGTGTGTGTGTGGGTGGGTGTGTACATGTACATTTTACAGAGCATTAGGTGTGCAGTTGAGCATGAGTGTGTTTACCAGCTGAAATCCATTTGACTTATTTGACTATATTTCTGACTGAACCATTAATAAACATGTGTTCCAACTAAATGGACAATGCAAGTGGAAACCTTTCAGTGGGATTTTGCAGTCTCATGGTAAGTAATGATGTCAAAAGTATATAACAAAAATATAACCCAGGGTCCACTGGCTTTTTTAGGAGCTTTCAACCACATCTCATGGTCATCATATGATAAGGTGGTAAGGTGGTTGTATGTGCTATAAGGTGCGAATGGGCTCCTTGGTCTGGAGTCAGTGATGATGTTTTGGTCCAAATAAACTGTAGGAGAACAGGTTTCAGGTTTCAACATCTCATTTACATCCCCAGATTTACAGTGTGAAAATAAGAATGTGTTTGTGATAAGAAATGGCTGAATGCTGATTGGATTTTATCCCTCAGTGAACAGGAGACAGAAACAGAGCGAGAGCATCAAGTGTGTGAAGATTACTTCCACCACTTACCCTTCCAAGGCCCACTAATGGAAGAGCCGATGTGGGGAGAGAGTGTGTGTGTGTGTGTGTGTGTGTGTGTGTGTGTGTGTGTGTGTGTGTGTGTGTGTGTGTGTGTGTGTGTGTGTGTGTCTGAGTGTGTGTTGGGAGTGAGTTTATTCACTGGTCAGGATGGAGCCTCTCTCTTTCCAGCTTTGGAGAATATGACACTGACCTTGTCATTCACACCATTGCAGTTTCCCCCTGAGAGCTGTGAGTAACAATAGGAACAAAACTGGAAAATAATTGTATCCAGGGCACCTTATTGTGAAACCTGTGCTGTGGCCCTATTGTCATTGTCCCAGCTGATCTGACAGAGGCTGAAAGTTCTATTTGATACCACAATCTATGTGTTTTGTGTTGCAATTTAACTCAGTCATACTGTATGCTAATGAGTTAGCATGCACCCTGGACAATCTGCCATACTGAAAGATGTTGAGAACTGTGTATTGGCAAGAATCTAACGATACGTATCATGATACAGGGGTTACAATTCAATATATTGCAATATATTGTAGGGTATAAGATAATATACTTAAGTATTGTGATATTTTGTTTTGTGATATCAGTTCTCATAAACAGTGTATTGATTTTTGTGTTTAAACTCCCAACTGCTAGATAGCAGTGTTGTAAAGTGAGGGTTGGACGAGACAGAGACACTGTTATGAATTGACGCTATACAAATAAAACTGAACTGAACTGAACTGAACTAAACTGTTCTGGGTGCAAAACTTTTTTTACCTTTTATGTCTGTATATGGTGGTGTTTTCCTTAAATTAGATTTCTTTAAAATCACTATATATTACCTCGCTTACTGTAACGCAATATATCACAATATATTGAATCCCTGTATCATTTCGGCAGATTCTTGCCAACACACAGCCCTATGCACGATACTGTAAGCAAGGCAGTATTTCACCATTGTCTTTTCTTCTAGTATAGTTGTTGCTGTTGTTGTTGATGTGTATCTTTGTCTCTGTCTCTTTTTTTTTCTTTACTACTCACCACCACATCCCCTCTACCCCTCCACCCTCCTCTCTTCCTCTAAACCCAACTGGTCAAGGTAAACAGCCACCCATCTAGAGTCGGGGTCTACTCAAGGTTTTTCCTTGCTGCTGTCACCAAGTGCTCCCTCATGGTAGGTACTCCTATAAGGAGTATGGTCTGGACTTGCTCTATATGAAAAGTAAGAGAGATACATTTTGAATGAATGAATGCATGAATAGGCGCTATACAAATAAAATGTAATTGAATTTTAATCCAATTTTAAGTTAATTTTCATTATTTTGTGTTTGCAGCTGTTTAATTTTCCTAGAGCTCCTTTAGCTAAATCTCAACATTCCTCTGAGTTGATTAGAGGATCATTCAGATCGCCTGTTGCACAGGGTGTAGGGACTGACTCCTCAACAGTCACTGAGAACAGCTTGGTCATTCCCCTCTTAGTACCCTTAGTACCTGCATCAGGGTAGTTCATAGTGCCTTGTCCAAGAGGTTTCATGCCCTATGAGTACCTGCTGCCTGCAGTCATATTTTTCTGCATATGAGTGTAATTTCTATTAACTGAATGGGTTAACATAATATCAATAGTTACTAATACTATTTAAGTTCATAAACTTGGTTTCCTTGAACAGTGTAAAAGTACTTATAAGATATGAACTTAACTT